CAAACAGAGTTGGCATAATTAAAGGATTTGGGTTTTAGAGTTAAACTCATAAAATATTAAAAAATATACTTTTTCCCCCTTTAGGGCCGTGATGGAGAGATCCCATCATATCAACAAGCGGGGATGCTGCGTGGAATAGCTGCTGGGATGAAATACCTCTCTGACATGAATTATGTCCACCGAGACCTCGCAGCAAGAAATGTCTTGGTTAACAGCAACCTGGAGTGTAAAGTGTCTGATTTTGGCCTGTCGCGTGTTCTCGAGGATGACGCTGAGGGCACGTACACAACAAGAGTAAGTCTAACGTCAACATTTAAAACCTAAAAGAACGTCAACAGGGAACACTTTTTGTTCTTTTTCCAGTTAATAATGCCAGACAGTTGCTGGTATGTTTTTCTCCCAAGTGCCCAATCATAAGTGTTACTCTTGCAGCGCTGTGTGTTTTCACTCGCTCCAGCCATTAAATATGATTTTTTTTAACGTTTCTCTTCTTTCAGGGAGGTAAAATCCCGATTCGCTGGACCGCCCCTGAGGCCATTGCATACAGGAAATTCACCTCAGCCAGCGATGTGTGGAGCTTCGGTATCGTTATGTGGGAAGTCATGGCATTTGGAGAACGGCCCTACTGGGACATGAGCAATCACGAGGTATGTTTTGGTTCCATGGTTTTGGTTTGGATTGTTTAGGACTATATAAGTCAAACCTGAATGTGTGTTACAGCCGAGAGTCTGTGCTTGGTCAGTGGGGATATGTTGCCTGACATCCAGCAGACTTTCTCACCTTCCTCTTCAAATTAACTGTTAATGTCAACATTCAAACAAAGCACTTTTCTTTGCTGTTAAGCTAAACCCTGCCCTCACCCGGGCCCCTTCTCTTCCTCAGGTCATGAAGGCGATCAATGAGGCCTTCAGGCTTCCTGCTCCAATGGACTGTCCGTCTGCTGTCTACCAGCTCATGCTCCAGTGTTGGCAGCACGACCGCTCCAAACGACCTCGCTTCACAGACATCGTCAACATGTTGGACAAATTGCTCAGAAGCCCAGAGTCTTTGAAAACCATTGCTGACTTTGATCCACGGTAAGAGTGTTATTTTAATTAACATTAATTCCTACTAAAGGAGACACACTTTTGAGAAATTGTCATGGAAAGAATAAAAATATTTACAATTGATAATAAATAAAAGGCAAGGATATTCTCTGTTGGGATGGCCAATTTTAATTCAATGTTATAACTTAATTAACCTGTTATTTAAAAAAAATACTTGTCCACAATGTATGTTGACTAAAAGAATAGTTTGAGTTTTGGGAAAAAGGATGAAAAACATTGTATAGCTTTGTTCTTATATCAGTACTGAAAACAGTGGGATCACAGCAATTTACAGAGGGTTATGTGTTTGGATATTTTAGGGTTGGTCGAGGCTATTCTCTGTCTCTACTTGTTCTCTTGTAACTTTCAAAACGTTTTCTCTTACAAACTCTCAGTGTACAAAATGTAGCTGTGGATGTTCCATGTTCTGAATATATATCATTCTTTGCAGTGTGTCCATCCGCCTGCCCAGTACCAGTGGATGTGACGGCACCATGTTCAGGTCGGTGCCTGAGTGGCTGGATTCCATCAAAATGAGCCAGTACAACGAAGCTTTGCCCGTGCTGGGATCACAACATGGAGCAGGTGCTCGCCTTGAGGCATGAGTAAGTGCACACATGCAGGCACAGGTGCAGCCTCGACTCGCTGCACTGATTTATCTGGCACCAGGCCACATTTTAATGTAACAGAGAAAGTATTGAGCTCTCAGCTTGAACATTTGTTTCTGGTTTGTTAATGCAGAATACTCCAGTCCAAATGTGCACATGTCATTCCTCTCATTCTTTAGTGAATAACTTCTACAGCAGTGGTTAGCAGCTTTTTCTGTCTCACAAACCCCGTCTGCAAAATTAGCTCAAGTACTCTGTCATTGCCACCATCTGTCAAGTTTCAAATGTGTTTCTTCCACTTTGAAGTGGATCTACTTTAACATTATTACTTATTATATAATATGTGTTTGCATTCAGTTAAAAATATCAGTAGGCTAGTTTGGTCATGTTAATTATGACTTCTATGAGAGGTATAAGAAAGACATTTCGAAAGTTTATCACCTTTAACAATCAACAATCTTACAGTATAATAGTTCATTATTTACTTTTACCTAGATTTAGTCGAAAGATTATGTCCAGTACTTTAAGCTAACTGATTCAATGTATTTGTTTAATTCATCTTAGCCGTTTCTATATTAAAAAAAAAACACTACTTTAAGCTCACTTTGTTCAGCAGTTCATGAGCTACCTTCACCATACTTTTTTTAAAAATTGTATTGTAATTTTAAGCTCACACTTTCAGTATCAATGAGTTCTGTTAACGTGAAGTGGAGGACATATTGTTTAAACCATACTAAAAAAGGTTCTCATTTATGTTTCCTTTTAGAGACATCAGAAATATTGGAGTGCGGCTGCCCGGTCACATGAAGAGGATAGCATACAGCATCCTGGGTCTGAAAGATGAGACCAGCTCTCTCAGCGTGTTTGCTGTGTGATCTAAGCATTCCTTCAAATCAAAGTGCACTGACCGACCATGCCATTTCACTCGAGGACGAGGAGGACTTTTGTGGGGGTGGGGGGGGGGCTGAAACTGAGCTGTGCTGCAGGTTTTTTTACCTCCTCTGTGACACTGTGTGGAACGACTGAAGAGACACTCCAAGCCACTCAGAGAGGACTGAGATTAAAAACACTTATGTACTTTATTATAACAGAGGAGAAATCATTTATCTTTGTGAACCAATGGACTATATGTTGAACATAAAAAACTATTTGTGATATAGTAAATGAAACCATTGTAAAAGTAAGTGTAAAATGTTAGACGATGTGATAGTCCTTGTCCTGCGTTGCCTGAATGACTGATGAAACATTTTATGCTCTTCATGAATAAGAGCCTTTTCTTCCAAGCACTCACTTTATTCTGCCAGTGTTTCTGGATCCTTAAAGATACCTTTTTCTACATTATTGTGATTAATGAGACTTTCTTTTACATTTGGAAAGATTATTATACTCAGGGCAAAGAATCACACATTCTTATGTTTAATAGTTAGTCTCTGTATCACAATTGTTTTCCTCAAATTGTTTGTTTGTTTACATCATGTCTTAATACAAATGTTCATTTTATTTAATATTTATTTTGTTTTATATTTATGTCATTTGTTACATGAGAAATATATCCTAAATTTATACCAGGTGGTGTATTTTGTGTTTAAATAAAATCAGTGTTGCCTTACAAATGAATCACTTGTCTTTTTAAATGTTATGTTTACAATTAGTCCACTGAGATACTCTGTTACTGAGAAGTTGTGATAAACCTTTGCAAAGTTATGCTCCAATGAGTAAGAAACCTACTGAATATTGACATCCCTTAAGTGGATCATTTTGAGTTAACTATTGTACTAACGTTGGTGATCCTGTCCTGTCTCATTTTGAACTGTCAGTGACTCAAGTGATCAGTGTTGGTAACTTTGATTTATCACCAAAAATCCAAATAACTGTCATCTTAGCCTCGGCTATATGTTTCAAAAATGTTTTAGCATGCTATCATGTAAAACTCAAAACTGTGCTGTAACTGTAATTAACAGTGACAAAACACTGACATTTTATTACAGAACTTTGACTTCTGGTGATCTATTTCAATTATTTGATCATTTTTGAAGAGAAAAATTAATATGCTACTTTAACTTTTCCGATAATGTAAGTTTAGCCATCTTTTTCAAACATTCATTAGGCTACTTCTATCTAACCAATTTTATCCTGTTTTACCACACCCATAATATTTAGTCCTTTAACCCCTTAATCTTGTGCTTTTAGCAACCCGTTTGAACCTTTATACTTATTTAGCTGCAAAAACAAAAGTAGCCAGCAGAATAGCAGTTCAGTGTAACGAACTGAAAAAAACAAAAAACTAACAAACCACTTTTAAAGAGGAAGTAACCTAAATAAATGTGATACTGTAACATGAAACCTCCGTGTTTCTGCCCCAATAGAAAAAGCAATAGAAAAAAGAGAATTTAAAAGGACCCTGCAACTTCATATTGGGATCTTTTAATCTTCAATATTCACACCATCCTCTCAAAGAAACTGTAACTCACCTCACATTATCATAGCCTAAACATGAACGTGACGTACATTTCAACAAGTCTTTCTTTTTAAACCACCGGTAAATACTTCTCTAATATTGTTAATTCACCAGTAAATCTAAACTGTTGGCCTCTGAGCTTGTTTTTGGTTACATCTGACATCCAGATGGACTTAGTCAAACTTGGTGACTTTGACAAGATGGAGTTGAATGTCACGCCTGCACACAACTTCACTCCGTCACTCAGCCATTTTGAATGTACTCGCTGTTTGATTTTCTATGTAAATTGTATTAGTACAGTGTCATTCCTGGAACAAATCCTTCTGACAAATCCTTAAAAAGCCAAATTACAGTTTCTTAACAATGTCAGATTATTGTCACCTTTTTGAATCAAAATCAAGGAATGATAGGTCATTTAATAAAAGGACTGATAATTATAGGTTATTCCTTTACTCAGAAACATCTCCACACCCTTTCTCACACAAACACAAAGACTCATCTGCTCCCAGTCAGGGGTGTGGCAAGAAATGTTAGACCCCTTGACAACAGTTAAACAACAGTTCTGACACATTAAATATCTACGTGTCATATTCCTGTGCAGCTACATCAGGCAGGCACCCAACTACACACACACACACACACACACACACACACACACACACACACACACACACACACACACACACTATAAAGGACTCATATACTGACTCTTTGATCAGACACAAGCTCGCACAAAAAAAGATCTCTCTTGGATCCATATAGATAGATATAGATATAGATATAGATAGATATAGATATAGATATAGATATAGATATAGATATAGATATAGATACACTTCGTCAGTCACTATGGACAAAGGCTGTGGGATTTCCTCAGAAGGTCCAGGATCACCACCTCTGCACACCAGCAGAGAGAACAAATATGCAGGTCAGTTGAACAGCAATAGGTTGAAAAGTTCTATTCCATTATGTAGTTATGAATATTGACTTTCTGTATATGGTGTCTTTCAGGTCACGCTTATCCTTCAGGGAAGATCCAGCTCATTGGAGACATTTTCCAGTTCACAGTCGATGTGAGTGAATTTTCTCCAGAGGACGTTATCATCACTTACTACAACAACCGGATCGATGTTCATGCTGAGAAGGTGAGCATAGCAGGCAGGCTGAAAATGTTCTAATGTTTTTTTTGTAATAGTCACCAGAAATGGTCAAATGTTCTGTTGTTTGATTGTTTAATTGGACCAAAGTGTAATCATAAAGAAATACTTTGAATGTACCGTTAAATTATTCTCCACAGCAGATAGCACTGTTGATATGAATTGAACTAATCTATACATATGGCTTATTCAGATTGATTATGTGACTCTGTTATTTCAGTCTATAATTTGATGATAAGGAAAGAACATTAACAACATTAACAATACATTGACTTTAACTTTTTCTCACCAGTTTTGGTTCCTCATGTCCATATATGTTTTGCTCTTTTCATGCAGTTGGGGGACAATGGGGCAGTCACAAACAATTTTTCCCACCAATGCAAACTTCCATCAAATGTGGACCCCACATCTGTGACCATGGCCCTGGAGGGCAGAGGGGTCCTGACTATCAGAGCTCATAGGGTGCATTAGTTATGGCCTGAGCTCTCTGATCGCTTGCTGCATTTGATATTTAAATGCTTGAGCGTATCGCCATCTGTTGGTTGCAGAAGGAATCAACAAATTCATAATTTTGGTCTCTTTCAATCAACTTTGTCCTACTTGCGCCAATATCATTCCTGAGCATTCCTTTAAATAAATAAAAAAAACACTTTTGATTCATTGAGTGAGAAGGTTGGTCAGCCTTATATGCCAAAAGGATGGAAAATTGGTATAGCTTTCTGTTTAAGGCTATTCTTCATGTACATTCTTCATATTTGATTCAATAACTCTAAGTAGCTGTAACCCTCAATCTCATGGACTTATCATGTATGTTGTAACGGTCTGTCTTTGGTAAAAATGTTTTTTTATGTTTTTGCTCCTTCATCTTGTACCGAGCTACAGAGTCACCTTAAACTATAATATTTTACCAGCTTGCATGCTTTTAAAATCAGGATTAAGGATAATTTGATCAGTGTATGCACAGGTTCTACTGCTAAGTGTCTGATCTAATTTCTAATTGTGATGTTCTGTTTGTTCTTTGTCTGCTGCTGTCTTGGCCAGGACTCCCTTGTAAAAGAGATTGTTTTTTTATATCTCTGGGAATTTGCCTAAAATAAAGATTGAATAAACAAAGCAAAAACAATCCCAATCTTTCACAGAAAAACATTTGCTTCCAAAAGTTAATTTTTTTTTTTGTATTTACAGCAGTAAATTAGTTCTGTTAGGATATGTCTGTGGAAAGGATACATGCTTTAAATAAAGTACTTACACAACCAAGTTTAGCTAAAGTAACGTGGCTCTGCTTTACTTTTCTTCTGTCCAGTAGGTGGCGGTAATGTCCCTAGTTAATAAATAATGTGAAGACGAGAAGTGACGTCATGTAGTGGTTGTCAAGTAATGTTTTAGTTTACGGAAGTGTGGCTTCACTGTGAGTCTTATAAACCCTTTTTGTTTTGCTGGCTAAAGTTGTTTTTTGTAAAATGAATGAAAAGGCTTAAGAAGAATGATTCGGTGTTCTGATGCTACAGTCAGTTCTACATTCTTTCTTTTTGAACATAAAAATCCGTCGTAGTATTTTAGCAGTGTGAAGCTACAGCTAAGCAGCGATCACACCACAGACTGCAAACATTAAGGATCACAACACAGACTGTAAACATTAAGTATCACATCATAGACTGTAAACATTAAGTATCACAACACAGACTGTAAACATTAAGGATCACATCATAGACTGTAAACATTAAGGATCACAACACAGACTGTAAACATAAAGCATCACACCATCATGGCACTGGTTCCTCCTCTCGGATCAGTAGTAGTAGCTGACTGGCATCGATGTAAAGACAGCAAAGAATATTTCAGCAAAATTCTGCAAAAGAAGAGACGCAAAAACTTTGGTATGTAAAGCAAAACGTAATATTCTTGTTGATTCTAAAACATTTGTTTCTTTCTTTTTTTTTAAAGCCCTGTAGTTTACATGTTTGGTAGGCTTAAGAAACTTTTCATCCAGCACATTAATTATATGTTTATCACTGTATAATCCTTTGAGTTGTCAGTGCTTCAGAGAGAAGGCAGCAAAAGATGGCTGTGTTACAAATGTGTACATCTTATTTTAAATCACAGCTACCCATATAGGGGTAAAGTCACAGGTTTAGTATAATAACGAATTTCCATAATATATAACAATGTTGCTGCTACTGCCAGTAGAGTTTGAACATTATCCTGTTTTACCACAACACAACTGTAAAACTGTACACAAAATTAAATCCTAAATTGATGCTATTACCTTGTTTAAAGGCCTGTTGGAGTCTCCAGTGATGCCCCCACATGTAGCCGTGGACACAGTTCACTATAAGATTTTCATTTCTGGAAAGAGTGGAGTTGGAAAAACTGCTCTTGCTGCACGTCTTGCAGGTCTAAATATTCCCAACATGCACTATGAAACCACAGGTAGGTCCCTCCTCTACACCGACAAGGCATAGAAGTGTAAGACTCAAAACTCTGTACTGTTAATTCAGCCAGTGTTTTTTTTAAAGGTATTGAGACGACAGTGGTGTATTGGCCAGTGAAGCTGAAAGACAGTGGCAGAGTGCTTTTCTTCCGTCTACAGCTGTGGGACTGTGGAGAAAACGCCTTACGTAGATTTGACCATTTGCTCCCGGTATGTATGAAATATAAAGTCAGTCATCACAATATGTTTAAACGAGTTGTGAAGTTAATTTGAAACAAAAAAGGACTTCAATGTAAAAATAGATCTTTGTTTGTAACTCTTTTCCACCATCTCTTTCAGTCGTGTAAGGAGCAGGTGGACGCCGTCCTTTTCCTGTTCTCCTTCACTGACAGAACGTCATTTGATGATTTGTCAAATCAGATGGCTAAATGGACGGAGACATCTGGGCGCCACGTTGTGAAACTGGTGGTTGGCACCAAGTATCCTTTTTGAAACTTGTGGCTCACTTTAATAAACCAGCCTGAATCTAAATCTTTAAACTCCAACTTTGCCCTTTTGTGAAGGTAACACAGACTGGGAAATGCATATAGAGCCTCTCCACACTAAGTGAAATGGAATATAGTTGATGCTTACTTTGCTAGAGATTTACTACATTGATCCATTAGGGTTCAATTAGAGTAGAGAGCTCTGCATTGATTTGTTAAGAGCTTTTGTAAATAGTTAGATCTGTATGTTTAGCTTCTCTTTTCCTCATAGAATGAGTATCCAGCTTAAACTGTCTCATCACATACTAAATGTCTTTTGAAGCTTCATCAAGAGACAGATATTTGTCCTTAATTCTCAAACCTTCAGATTTGACCTTTTCATGCACTGTGATGTGGCAGAGAGCGATGTGAGACACTTCCAGGAAACGAGCGGTTCACCTGTGCTGCGGACGGGTGGGGAGGTCAGTGACGGGCTGGGTGACGTAGCCCCCCTCCTCAACTGCCTGGCAGAGAATTTGTGGCATCAGGATTGTGTAACAGCTGGATCAACCAGCCACTACTCACATCAGGAGACAGGAACAGTACTCTAATACAGAACATGATTTTTCTTTTTTTAGGAGGAAGTTCAGAATTTGGACTCAAGTTAGGGTCACCCCTGGGTTCCTCTATAGACTTTGAGCACACTGTGTATAAAGGTGTTTGTTTAGACAGCCTGCTCCTTTTTGGCCTCATCGCTGAACTGTTTTTCTTCTTTTTTTCTGATCCTTGATTTCTGATTAAATTATCTTCAAGCAAAATCATCTCACACCTTGAAGTTCTTTGTAAATATTGTATTACTTAAAAAAAAAAAAAAAAAGAGAAAATCATGAACTGTTGTGTCAAGTTGTCTTGTTGAATCTTTATTCATTTGAACACTTTGTTGCATAAAGCAGATCTTACAAAACAGCAGAAAAAAAGAGAAATTAAAATCACATCACTTTAGAAGTGATTTAAATACAAGTAGAAAAAAATGGATTCCCAAAAACCCAAGTATCCCCAACTTAAAGTGTGTTTTAATTGTGACAAACTCTGTGCACATTGGAGTGTGTTCTGTGCTTTGATGCTCTATAATGCCTCTACTAAAAAAAAAAAAAGTGAAGTGCAGTTACAATAAATCCTTAAGTGAGAAAGTTCTAAAGAAACTCAGTTTTCAAATTTGTATTTAGTGAAAAATAATAATAAAGATCAGAGTCATATTGCCATCACTGTTAAGACAGAAGCTTCCTCCATGCCCTTTTATCTGACCTGCAATAAATAAATCACAGATGGATGACACACTGGGACAGGAACACTTTTTCATAAAAAACAAACAACGTCAAATCGTACCTTGTGTTTGTTACAAGTATCATGGCTGTTGGATGTCCAGTTTGACTTTTAGAGAGATGCAACAGTAAGGAGTCTGCGGGAAGACCCAGGACCTCAGCCTTGAGAGGCTCGAGCCGGACCTGTGTGGGGAATTCAGCATGATCCAAAACCAAGAACCTCTGATCCCCAACACTAGACAAAGAGAGGCAACACAGTGGGGTTTCCAATTAAATACTGTTAGAATATTTCAGTGTTTTACACAATAGAACTGAAAATGTTCAGATAGCCAGTTCGGGTCATCATTTTTTTTGTATAGCAAATGAAACAACATCCCATCAGAGTATGTTTTTGAAGATGAAAAACAATGGTTAATAATGGCTGGTTGAAGAAAATACTTCTTTGAGGAGATGATTAAAAGGTCGTTGAAGAGGTGGAGGTAGACGCTGATGAATGATATTCTTGAGCTGTGAGCAGCCTCCAAAGTCAGCTGTCTCATGGGACCATGGTGCACCAGAAAACGTCCTCTCACCACCAAAGGCACTGACTGAATGATAAAAGAGGCAGTTAGTTTAATCATCCCTATCTGCAGGTTACAGAACACATTCAAATCTGGTTTTAAGACACAAAAAAGAGAAATTCTTCACTTTGACTTTTCCAAAATCCATCAGCATTTGCAGAGAGACCAGCTCCTCAATTTGTTTCATATTTTGGACGCCCTTGTCACACTCCGTCACAATCTGGTCAGAGCACATTCAAAAGCAACTTTCAACTTTTTACAGGTCAAATGTAATGATTTATTTGCTCAACATTTTGCTGGCAGAACTGAACCCACTACACAACTCTACATTGTAAAAAGCATGGTGGCCTCAGTGTAAGCTGACAATGCTTTAAAGTGAACAGCTTTACCTCGTGAATGGCTTCTATTGCTTTTTCCAGATTTAAAATCGAGGCAGAGCCTGGTTCAGTCAGTTTCAGGATGCTCTGAATGAGAGACAAGCCAAGAGAAGCAGTTATTTTCTGAAACTTGATTATACAGTATCAAGATGTAAAACACACATATATATTAGGAAGCTTAAAATTAAAATCCCATCACATGCTGACCTCTAAGATGAGTTTCATACGAGTAATTCTCTGAAAAGGAAGGACTAGGAAGGACTTCAGGCTCTGTCTTTGACACACTGGATCATTTTCAAGCTTCTTAACTGAGGACAGGAAGTCTCTGTTCTGCTGACTTCAGAAAGACAAGATCTGAATGAATAGGTTTGATGAAAAGCTGGAGTACTACAAGAGGCATCGAGCACAGAAACGTACAGCAGCTGGTTGACAAGGGCCTCTTGGTACATCATGTTGGTCACGTATGGCACATAAAGGCGGTAAAACTCTGGGCAGTTTTGGAGCACAATGTCTCCAACCTGAGACATCAACACTCTCTCTCCCAGTCTCATTTCAAGATCCATCAGAAACCTAAGAGAGACCAAACACGAGCTCAGAAAAACACTAAGGGAAGAAGTTATTGTAAAAAGAAGTACTTCATGTGGAGCTCTCACTTTTCACTGGCTGCCATCACAACACGGCTGTTGGAAAACAACACATGATGCTCCCTCTTGGACAGGGTCTCTTTAAGCTCCGCTGATGCGTAGAAGTGATTGACAGCTACTCGGAGGCTCCTCAGGTAAGATGCTTCGGAGCCGATCAACTCAAACATCGACTGCGGAGGAAGGAAAAATGAAGGATTAAGAACAAGATTTATAGTCTTTTTTCTAAATATTGAGTATTACAACAGCAGGTAGCAGGCTGAAGCTTGTGGTTATGCATTTCTTATTGTTAGAAAAAAAACAGCAGAACCAACACAGACTCGATCCTACAAAAAGTAGAGCATTTGTAGTTAAAGCATGTTGTAGTTCTTTCCAACAAAAACTTACAATACATTATGAGTTTGACTACAAAGCTGTGAATAGTCCCACACTGATGCATTTTTTAAACTCCTATTAGATTAACTTTTCATGATTTTTTAAAAATGTTTAAATGAATGTGATGGAACAGGGACTTTGGATTACCCACAGAGATAATGGTCACAATATTAAGAAAATATGATTACCATGCTAAAAACGACTGAAATAGTATTGATACATTGGGACCAACAGATACATGCTTATATTTTGAAAGTTACATAAAAACATTTTACGTCCACATTCATCATCTATAGCTTGCTTTATGTATCAAAAATGCTAAAGCACAGTGCCACTATTGCTGCAGGCTGAATATTAGCATGGTTATTTAACTACATCTACAAAGTGAACAGAGTTGGGTATTGACAAACTGATTGCAGAGTTAAGACCCTTCAGATTTAGGTAAAACATGCTTTCCTGGTACACCATCCACTTCGCAGAATTTACATTCATAAAGATTAGTTATAAAAGGCACAGCTGTACCCTACCCCTAGCTATCCTGCTAAATGCTTTTATGCAGTTTAATTGACATTGCAGTGAAGGCCAATTCTCTTCGCCCACTCCTGTCTTGCTCAATCTAGTCCGATAATTTGATTCAAACGTCACTTGGTTCCAAATAATCTTGGAAAAAAACATGCAATATGGTGAAAATAAGATGCAAAACTTTTTCACACCTCTTGAAGGCGGATCTCTCTGGCTGTCAAGCTACCGAGCAGACCAGATGCCTTCACCTCCTCCAGCTCTTGCCAAAGGGTGCATGGAATCACCCTGATTGGCTGAGGCAAAAGTGAGGATGGAGGTGCTTGCAGAGGGCTTGATTGAGGCGATGCAGCCACAGATTTGAAGGAAGGATGAAAATGGGACTGCGTTATCAGTTCAGACACAAAACTCTTGGCGATTCTCGAGAGATCTTCTTTCACATCCTGCAAACAGTACTCCTGATACAGAGGGACTGCAGAGCACACACATAAAGAGAAGGTACTTAACATTGCTGCAAACATCACACTTTTCAGTAAGTGAGAAGGAGAAGGTTAAACTTACAGAAGTCAACAAACTTTGAGTGGAATGTCACACTCTGCATCTCCTCCTCAGCTCGATCTGCGGGCCTGGTTTGTTAAGTAGATCACATGTTGTAAAAATATAGACACTATAAAGAGTATAAAGACTACAACCTTATCTTACCCGTCTGTATTTGAATCATGATTATCCAATTTAGTCAAAGCTTGATCATCCTCTTCAAGAGTGAATACTGAGAACACCAACCTGAGAGCTGAGGAAATGTCCATAGTTGGACTTCAAAAAATAAAAGTAGATTTCATCAAAACCTTCAAATATGATGTTTTTCCTAGTCTAGCTGCATCATGTGGTCTTTACCTGCAACCCTCCATCAGGTTCAGAGAGTTGCTTCTCTCATTAAGGCCTCCAGAGTCCTTTGCACTGTTGGTTTCCGGAGAAGGAATCGCCAAAGAAAGCCGTTCTCCTGTCATCATGGTTTTGATTTGTGAAAACAAATTACCCACTAGTTGAGAAACTTCAGTTCTTGGGTGCAGATCAGCACTAATTTGTCTTTTCAAACAGTGGCTGCTTTCATTCCTTTCCTTCAGAGTCCACATACAAGACTCTCAAGTATCAAACTCTGACCAGGGTGAACCCCTCAGACTGAATGATCTCAGATGGATGCAGCGAGAGCTCGACAAAGCAGCAATCACAAAAATTAAAACCAGGTGTGGATGACACTCACTTTCATTCTACAAACAGATTGTAATTTGAATAGTTGCTTACATTTCCATGTACTTTTCTTCTCTCCTAGGGAAGTTTCTGTAAAAATGTTTGATCTTACATAGCAAAGACAGTAAAAAAGTAAACCTTTGGATCTTGGAAATGTATACGTTTCACTTTTTTAGGAGTTTAATAGACTAAATAATTCATCAAAAAATAAATGATATGGCAGATAAATTGACAATGTAACCAGTTAGTTGCAGCCCTAATTCTTACCAGGATGTGAGTAATGAACACACGTGAATTATATACTTATTCTGTATGCACTTGATTTAGTCACCATTGTTCCTTTCAGAACAAAAAATATCAAAACGTATATATTTAAATAGTTATATGTATATATTAAAAATAGTTTTTGAACACTTAGAGCATTTAAAAAAAATCAATGACTCAAGTTAAATTGGCACTGACATTTCAAAGTAGCATTTCAACATGCATGGGACTGGTGCAGGATTTTCTTTCCATTTTTTGTTTTTGTAAAAAAGGTCCATCAATTAAGTTTTTTATTTATTAAATGCTACTGAGATTGCAGATAGTATCGAACTGGGAGAACTTCACATATACTAAAGGTTTCAGCTTGTTTTGTTAGTTTTCTTATTTCGTTAGGACAGTGTGGGACTCTGGGAGAGGGTCGAACCCAGGACAACAGCCTCCGTACATGAGGCATGTTAAATAACCATTAGGCCAGCCGGCAACCCTTTCATTGTATCTATATAAGAACTGTAATGATTTGATAGACAAGACAAAAAAGAAGCCTTGACCCCAAGAGTAAAAAACGAAATTCACACACAATGTACAAATACTAGTTCCGTTTTATTTGCAGTTTAAAATTTCATACAAGATAAAAGTAGATAATTCAACTTGCCTGAACATTGTTGGTATATGACTGAAATAAAGCCATTAAAATACTTGATATATAATGTACTGACAAAACATTTGATGGACACAGATGACCAAATTCTAACATAAAAGAAAACGAAAAATGGATGATTTTAAGTAGGAACACAAACTATGATCGTTTGACACAAAATAAAAATACTTTTTGAACAGGAAGTATAAACTGTTTTTTATGATCCACACATGGCAAAGCTCCCAAACTGTGGAGAATGACACATACAGTACAAGATACCCTCTGTAATACACACACTTAACCCAAAAATTCCATTTACGATCACACATCGACAAATACACTAGTGGCTCCTTTGATATTTCAGTGTGATGACCCATGTGTGGACTTCTGGAAATTTTTTTTTTTTTAAACCTGTTCAAGAGTGATCCACTCTTCTAACGGCAGCAGATCCCAATATGTTGCATTTCCGTCATTGGGTTCTGAGTTGTTAAAGATTGGGGGAACAAGCCGAAATTAAAATGATAGATCAGCAGATTGCTTTAAATATCAATATTTGTCAGAGTAAAAGTCGGAGTATTGCTACTCCATTCTGACAGTTTGTATTGGTGCTCACACGTTTAGATAAAAAAAAAATAGATTTATGACATCATAGGGGAGCCTATAATAATAATGTTTCAATAATCAAATCATACAATTGGGCATTTTATAATGTGTCAATGTTGGACAAAAAAAAGAACAAGATCAATCTACCATACCAAATCTCTAAAAATCAATGAATGGGTGGGCACCCAAAACATCTGCATGCAAACACACCTCACATATCTGCAATATCCAGAAAAGTTTTTACCAGTTGTCCCCTTAGTTTTTGGATATCCTGAACAACAAATCAAGAGACGGCGTTTCCCTGTGTTTTTACGTGCTCCCTCAGAAGGGACGAGACATCTTGATCAGTAACAAGGTATAAATAAGACAGATGCTGAGTTGGGAGGCTGCGTGACAGTTATGAGTCTAGGTGGGCACAGTGATACTGCGGGCTAGCAGCGCCAGCAGGGCTAGCTCCACGACCCCGTGAGCTTGCTGCAGTGCCTCAGCAGCCTCCATGGCAGAAAAGCCCGCTGCCTGGATTCTCTGGATGTGCTCAGCTGGAAATTGTTCTATAAAGGGATGCGGGGAAGACAGAGGGGGGACCAGAGATGTGACCTGGGTAGCCTGAGCAAGAGAAGGGGAAGGGGAAGATGAGGTGCTAGAGACTTCCTCAGGTGAGCCCACTGCCATGGACAGAGGGCTGAGAAAGGGGTGCTCAGTCTGGAGGCCTAGAGTGTCAGGGGTATTAGTGCCAGAGGCTCGTCCATCTGCGACCCCTCTCCCCTGCTGCCCCTCCGGAGGTTCTCTGAACTTCAGGTCCCCTGCAGGATCAAGAGAAACCTCCTGCTCAGGTTGAAAAGTGCTGATGCCATTAGCTTTATCTTGCCCAAGTCCCCCATCATTCTTCCCCTCCTTGATGATATCTGTACGCTGTGGTGGTACTTGTTTCTCCAAAGTGTCAGCGCCATCGCCACCCAGAATCTCATCCTCGTCTGTGAACGCAGATGATGCCACAGACACAAGACACTTTGATTGTCCCTCATTGGACACAGCAGCAGCATCATGGTTGGCTTTGGCATCGCTTGTTTCTGCACCAGCTGTGATGGCAGTAGAGGGGATGTTAGACATTTCGGGTGTCTGAGTGCGTGGCTCGGGGAAAACGTCGTCAGTTTCCTGTCTGAATGGATGCGATGGGGAGCAGGAGTTGCTTCGGCTTTGAGACTGACCACGGTTGTTGGACACAAGCAGCTCGTGAAGCTCTTTGAGAGCAGCGGCCAGGGATGGCGTGCTGTCAGAGCTGGAGGAGTGCTCTCCTTCAGGCTGGTCCCTCTCTGATGACACTGCGCCCTGGGAGGCAGTCGGGGACTCCATTTCAACTGACTCAGGTTGGATAGGTGCACACGGACAGGCTTCTGTGGCATCGGCTGTGTCGGCCTGTGGCTCCTCCTGCTCCATGGGTTGAAAAGGGTAAAGTTCCTCTTGACTGGGGAGGACCTCGTTTGATTCAGCGTCCCCCTCTGCAGCTCCAGGCTGTACCTCAACCCCCGGATACAATTCCGCAAGAGTAGGGACAACGTCAGCTGAGGAACTCGGTACAGGGGGCACTTTGGAGATGCTTTGGACAGGCAGAGGTGGAGGCTGAACCTGAGGAGGTGCAGAATCCACATCCTCTGCTGGGGGCGAAGGCAGAGGAAGCCTCTGAATGTCATGTTGGTCCTCACACAGCCCTGAAGCCAAGGACTGCGTCATGGCGGCCGGGGCTGACTGAGAGCGATCCAGGGTTTGGCTCTGGCCAGAGGACGAGCTTTGAGAAGGGGAGGTGGATGAGGACATTTGGTCTAAGGTTCTGGGTAATGTAAATGGTGGGGGCTGTGGTGAGGTAGTTTGTCCATCTGCAGTGTCTATTGTGAGAGAAAATATAACTGAAAATTAAACAGCTGGAATATATGGACTCAGTCTGGATGCATTAACTGCATTAACATGTACACAGCAAACTGTTGCTTCTTTTATAGCTTCTTAAAAAATGCTTCTTTTTCATCTTAACAATTATAAGTATTCAGAATAATAACCTGTTTAAGTACAATGTAAAACATCAACTGACCGACTATGCCGCAAAAAAAAACAGCAAAATAAAAGACACAAATAGCAATGGACTTAGCACTGGCAATGGACTTGTGAATTTTACAGTACCTGGTTGGTAGGGCCCTCTCCAGCTGTCTCCAAATGCATCAGTGCTGTCCTGCTCAGGGTTAGGGCACACACCACACACATCATGCAAAGGGACGGAAAAAGTTAGCAGTCACGCACAGAGCATGCACCAACCTGTGAACCTTTTCACGCACAGTGGTCAAAAGAGTCATCCATAAAGATAACTGAAATAAAACAATAAAACTTGCGCCTATGTCTGACATGGTAAAGTGACCAGCAGAGTCGCTTTAACATGATTGTCAAGAACAAAAGATTCATTGATCTATTCCTCATCTCTAGTGGGGCCTGAACACAGTGCAGCTCTTCAGTGGACATTAATGAGCACGCCTGGCCAGTGAAAACGATAAAGGTTAAGTGCATCAATGGCAACGAAACAAATGTTTATGTAAGCATTGAAAAGCATTCTGACTACAATTTCATGATTATATTTTGACATTTTGAATACAAAATGTGACTTGTATTCATATAAAGCAGAAATCTACCCACCTTAAGCTGCTGGAGAGAACAACACTGACAGCTTACACTCAACATCTTAGTTATTTTAAAACTCAACTTGGAGATGAAGCTAAGCATAAGCTCCTCAAACACAGAACACATACTCATTAATTACAAAATTATTTACCGTATATATTTCCTGACATGTCAGGGGATAAATAAGAAACTGTTTATGGATAAAGTAACCCGACAACATTGTCTGCTACGTATTATTCCAGTGAATGAATAACCTGATATCATGTGTGACATCCCTGACGCCTTTATTAGCAGAACAAATAGTTTCAATGAAAACTGTAAAAAAGAAGAAAGAAAAAGAAGCGACCCTATAAAAAGTACCCAATTCTTTAGAAACTCTCGTAATGATGAGACAGTCTTCTCATTGTCATTTGAATTAACCCCCGGGGGAAAAATAAAGTTTTTAAAATTGAATTATAAAGTTATGGAACAGATGTGTCAGTTGTCCCAGTCTGACAAATACGACCACCTGGACGCTACCTCGTTCTACTTGCATGGTTAATCTTTGGTTTCAGTGAGTAATAATGGTGATGATGTCATCATTAGGATCCTGGAAGCATTTGGAGTCTGTTTTCAAGCATGCACACGATAAGCACTGACACATGTCATGAACTAAACTTGGTAGAATTCTTTTGGAGGTTCTTATCAGACTACAGTTAGGAAATGATTTTGTCACAGTCTAGGATTTTGTTCTTTGGAAAATGGCCATGGATTTTGGTAATGCTTCTGTGATATCTTGGTGGCTTTATTATAATTCTTATCATGTGCAAGATATTCTTGCTTATACAAATAAGTGCCCATGTTTTTTATTGGCACATTTCTATCAGTAGCTGACTTCAAGAGCTATTCTCACACCCCTTCAATGATCCATCTGCACCATTTTCAAATACAAAATGTGACAACAACTAAGAGTCAGGGCTGAGCTCACTGCAAACAGATGTCCATTAGCAGTGATGGCACCATTAGGAGTTAATGGAGTCGTCAGCGGTTAAGAATTGTCTCCAATGTTCCCCTAAACAAATTAAATGACCTCAAAATCAAACCAACAAAGACCCCGAAGTGATCTGTATTATGTCTGCTGATTGAGTGCGTGTTTAAGACTTTCATGATTTTAAGGACGCGTATAAATGTGAGATTATTTCACTGCCGTTCTCATCTCTCGATTTCATGGCCGTACATTACGTATAATTTGCTGAGGTGATGACATGAGGTGATCATGTGACGAAAAAGAAGCTTTAAACTGGCACATGCAATTGTAGTTCTAAGAGAGCTGAAAAAAAGCTCAATGAAAAGCAGGTTGAAGTAAGCAGAGATGTGCATATAAAGGAGACATGACTTACCACTTTCCTGTATGGACCTCTGCAGAGCCTCCGCCAGTTCTCTGTCAGCCATCTCATCAGGACGGGCATCTTCCCGCCCTTCTGCTCCGTACGCCAATCTGGCACACTCTGGGAGCTCCGCCTCGGACAGGAAGCTAGTTTCAGTGCCTGTGGTGCTTATTAGAAGTGTGTTCTTCTTCAGGTCGATGGAACACTAACAGAAAAAGGGGAGATTTAATGTTCAACTTTACTTTAAATTCAGCTTTAAGTGAGCAGAAGATTTGAAACTTCTGCTCACATTGATCAGAAAGAATGGGGGACCCGAACCTGGTGTCTCTTCAGCATATCCAAGCCAAGTAGCATGTCCATTGGCTGGTCCTCCAAGATGGAGAAAGAACAAGGAAGGAAGTCACCTTCAATCTGGACCTGAGCTACACGAGTGAAACAAGACGACATGATTTAAACCACACTGAAATGTCATGCAGAGGTTTGAAGCCTGGCTCACGCTGCAGGAGTTTAAACATTTGAATTCGGGTAGCATCACACACATAAGGAGAATCCTAAACAGATGTTCTTCTCCTTATTCTCAAACGTGCTCACACTGCAAGATGTGAAAATCTTGGCTCATCATTCTTTCTTTCGTCACATACTACAGGCTTTCATTAAGATTATCGTGCCTGATGGATGAACACACCCCCTCATGTGACCTCACGTAAACAAGGCAGCCGGCAGTTAAACTTGCAACTATAATGCGTTGTGCAGAGAGGAAAAACATTTTTACAAAACATGTTTTTGGGTGAAGAAATGTCCGGGGAGAGGTGGACAACATGGATTGTATATTCTTCAGTGAGACCTGTAGGTCTGAAGTGTCCTATAGCCTACATACAGTTGTCCAGTGAACCTATGCAGTTTGAATCCTACAGATTTTAAATTGTAAATATCAAACATGTTTGAAATAAATTGGGGCGTCCCTGATGATCTTCTAACAGACCGGGGACGTTAAAACTGGATCTTTATGCCACTCACACTACAAGATTATCTAGGCAGATAATTGGTTCCGAGCAGTCTTGAGTCGGGAACGACCCCGCGATGGTTGGGAAGAAGGAATCGGAGCTAAAATCGGCCCAATTACATACTCACTAACTTTTTTGACAATGCCATTTCAAAAACACAAACTCAGGGAAATCCTTTTGGTGAAATTGTCATTTGGAAATATTTCTAAACCATAAATATGACTTAGAGTAAAAAGGAAGAGGACCAGAGGCATTCAGTATTTGTGCTAAGCTAGTCTTATTGATAATGAATCACATTGTAATACAATTTAAATAATGAAATACTATTTTTGACAAAAACCTGACACTTACCCAAATGTACTCTGCCAATGATCTTCTGGGTGCCCACTCCCTTGGCGATCCCGGCCCAGCGACGGTCCACTAGCCGCATGATGTTACAGCGCTCAGCACACGCTTGGCTCATGATGGTCATCTGGGCTCCTTAAAAAGAAACAACATCAGATTCTACAAAATGTTTAACCTTCACTAAAAAAAAAAATGCATTTAAAACACAGTTTAAATATAACTTAAAAAAACAAACTACATATTTCTGTGGTCCAGGATGACTGTGTCTACTCTCGGCTGAGTCATACTGGTCTTGTAAAGATCACAGGGTTAATGAGATCACACATGCAATTCCAGGCACACCCTAAGAGGCAGGTCAAGGAGTTCAAATATCTGGAAAAGCCCAGATAAGAGAACCTGCTTTGTTAGTTTTAAAAACTACGCTATCTGAGGTTCGTCAAGCTTCTTTATTAGAATGCTGACGACTTCTATCTGATCACAAACTTGTGAACAGCTTAGGGAGTAGAGATGGACGTTATGGTGAGGCGGTTACAAAGAAATGCACAAGACATGCTCTGATTTCAGTCTGTTTGAACTCAAACCAATTAAAGTAATGACATATTTACAATCACACTAAAACACTGAAAGTCACAAATGGTAACTAATATAGGCCTTAATATCAAACCTAACAGTGAATGTTGTACTTCAAGATATGTCTGTTCAAAGTCGTCATGTGAAGCTGTCAATTTTTTGTGGGTAGTGATAAATCTGCAAACATGTTTGTTAATCTTGTTCATCCGTTTAATCTGCCAATAAAAACTAAACCCTGATGTAGCAAACTGACATTGTAGTACCAATCGGGTTCATGACCAGAATACTGTAACAAGGACAAATGGGATCAGGATTTAATGCTCATTACCTGAGTCAACAAAAGCTTTCACAGGGTGCCCATTGACTTTGCAGTTAATGTAGAGCATAACCACCTGTCCAAAGCTCTCAGGGGCCTCCTCCATTGCAATGGTCATGTTTTCCTCCACATTGTGCTGCCTGGGAAAAAAACAAATAAATATCATAATACTTCTAATCATGACTAAAACTGAGGCTGTACTTCAGATCAAGGAGGAGACAAACAAAATCCTCAGTCTCTCCATTATACCTGATGTCCTCCTCAATCTTTGCTTGGGCTTCCAAATCAAAGGGATCAGCAGTCAGGAGTCTGATCCTCTCCTGCTCTCTCTTGGCTCGATCCTGCTGTTGCTCCAGCAGCACTTTGGTGAAACGCTCTGAGAAAAAATTACACTTGTATGACTCAAACTTATCTGATCATAACTGCAAGAGCGACTACACACAGGGCTCTTAACATTAAATGTTTTTTTTTTTTACCCAAGTCTCCGCTGAGCAGTGCCTCAGCGAGTGGCGGGTTTCTCTCCTTGAGGAGCGAAAGCTCATGTGGATTGGATAAAAGCATCTGCTGAAGTAAGGCAGGGTCATCGAGCCCCTGAGGAGAGGAGCCACGGAAGGCCGTTGGCGTCGAAGATTGTGCCGCGCGCTGTGGGGGCAGCGGCTGCTCCGGTGGCGGTTGTGGAGCCTGCTGCTGCTGCTGCTGCTGCTGCTGCTGCGGTGGTGGAGCACTGCGTTGACTGGTTGAAGAAGAAGTGCCGGGGACTGTGATGGAACGAAAGTCAATACGGGGCAGACCTAAGGAGCAAAGAGAATAAAGGATGAGTGATTGGTATATTGTGCATACAAAAACACTTAAATGCCTTTTTTTTTTTAATGGTGATGTCTTGTGTCCCCTCTATTTTTAAATCAACACTTCCTCTTCCAGTAAACCTCATTTACTTTCCTCATACTTTCAAAGACTTATCTGATTTTGTAGGAACCAGAAAAGCCATCCCATTATTAAAAAGAAACCTGCCTGTTCATACCTCTAACAACTGAGAGATTTTCATATTAAGTATCAAAAAACAATTCTTGGCTTATTTTCAACTCACTTTTAAATCTGGATTGAACTTCAACTTGTCAAAAGACGTTAATAAATAACTTTCCTCTATTTTTCCCAAAGAAGAGTCTTACCTGGGAAGGCTGGCTGAGTTGGAGGTGGTCTTCTGTCAGCTTGCCGCAGCACCACCACATCTCCATCCTTAACACCGTAGTTTCCCAAGGCACGCGTTGGATCTTTTAGGGGTTGTTCCACATATGTGACCTGGAAAAAGACCATTAAATTTCATTATTTAATATACAGACCACTTACAGACTTTGACCATGCAAGATGAAAGATTCCACATGGCTGGATTAAGTTAGCAGCATTAAACACACGCGATGCCTCACAGAAACACAGAGTCATTTAGGTCAAACTGAACAGACACAAAAAAAGTGGCTGTTAGGTGAAACTTATTTTTGAGAACACTTTTGAAAAAACAAACTGAAGGGAAAAATGTTTAAGGTGTTCCTGATGCAAAACTACCTTCCCACCAAGATCTGAAAGGTTATTTTTGATTTTAGGAACATGATAGGCGCTGTGCAGTTTCAGTATTAGTCTCACTCTCTGTTAATTTACCACCCTCATTTTCTTTTTTCCTTATACCCTATTCAATCCAATCCAACTTGATTTGTTAAGCACTTTAAAACAACCACAGTTGACCAAAGTGCTGTACAGAAGAATAAATACAATACGTAACAGCTCACATGAGATAAAAGAAAACTACATGTGAAATACAGAATCAAGTTAAAAGACATAAAACATAAGTAAAATGAATGGGCACGCAAAAAAAGAAATAAGTCGACGGCTTACTGTGAGTCAAGACGAGATTTAAAAACAGGCAGAGAAGAGGCTGAGGTAAATCCTTCCATAATTTTCTTCCCTCGACTATATTTCAGTGTAGACAAAACAAAGTACAACCTGTGACAGTTACAACATGTGTGCAAAAGCTGCAAGTCCTCATAATTTAAAACCATCACACACAAAATGTGCTAGTTTAGAATTTAAGTTGACTTTTTGAAAAAAACAACAACACTCAACTTCACAAAAATAAAATACCTCAACTCAAACAGAGATGAAAGTAAGACTAATGAAAACTAAACTCATGGATACAGTGAGTGTGTTCAGCTTACTGGTTAATGTAAATATCCTGCTCCACTTCTACCAAACGTATAAACTATATATTAAAATAATAATTGTACAAGTGTTTATAATCTACATTAAGTCAACCTGCACACTTGGTGTAGTTTTGAGTTGCCGTGTTTATCCTGCCCATGACTAATCCTCTGTCAGTGCATATTACCTTTATCTTAATGTAACGTCGTCGAGGGTAACTAAAGTAACTAATGTAATGTTTAGCTTGACACAGCAATAAGCAGATAAATCATTGAAGTGGAGGATATTCATGTAAACATTGTTATAATCGTCTTCAACCTGTTAACTAGTCTGAACACTGTTAGCTCATTATTTGACCATTGTGTTGTTTTGTTAGCTTTCCCTCAGCTGCAGTCGACCACCAGATAAAGCCCCACACTTTGTAAATGTCACGTATCGTTGAAAACACGAGTGGGGGGGGGGGGGGGGTGTGTAAGTATGTCTGCTGTTCATAAAGTTTCGCAACACCCGGTCCATCAAAACAGCGAAAGTCTGATTCATGCTAGCAAGTCAGCTAGCTGGCTATTAGCTCTGTTAGCTCCCTTTGCTACCACTAGCCTTGACTAGTTTTGTGAGTTCACCTGGATTTCCCCAGCTGGGATTCCTGATTCCAGTTCACAAAGTGCTACGAAGTCTCTCAGCTCCAGCTCCGGGGACACATCGAGGGCGAAGGTGGTTTCTGGGCGATCCCTCGGCGCGCAGAAAACGGTGACCAGCATCGCTTTATGTGTTTTTTGGGGGGAGAGGATCACTGGACGAACCCGCTGAAACAGAAGCAGGTTAGTGTCTTGTACACACTGGAAATCTTGTTTTGTTTTTACAACACACTACTACAAAGACGTATTTTCGCCCTAAACAGCATCAAAGCGAAACTAATTCAACCCGAAAGACAGCGAGTGTTTCCACTTACTGGGTAAAAGTCTGAGGTGACAGTTTCTCTTTCATCTACAACTAAACAACATCAACTATTGCTTCGTGCTGCCGCATTTCACACTGCACATTTTTCGACATGTCGCGTAACACATTTTGCAGTCGTGACTCCTTATTCTTCTTCGTGGTGTTTAATGGCGCTCGGCAGATAACCCTTTAGAGTATCACTGCCACCAACTGGACTGTGCGTCGTAAACTATACACAGAGTAAACTAAGAATAAAGAGAATAAACTAAAGACACGCAAGAGATAATAATAATGTTACAGATCATTTTGTTCGCACAAGATATATATATATATATATATATATATATATATATATATATACTGTACATTCTATATATCTTTATTATATTAGTCTATATTATATAAAATTTAATTATATTACACTATATTGTTCATATTGCACTATATTATATTATATAATTACATTATATTATATAATTACACTCTGTATTACTGTGGTACAACACTGCCTCTCTTCTCTGCTGTTTACATTATTAAGTCACTTCAATCATCACTTGTCCCTTTATCTTGTCATTCTCTGCAAATACTGTCTCAATTCCCTGCATAGTTAACTTCATCATTAATTTTGTACTTGTATATACCCCCTGTTTTTATTTTTATTTATCTTATCTATTCTGTTTAATGTGTATTTTGAGCTTTCTTGTCTGTGCTGCTGCAATGCCCGAATTTCCCCTCTGGGGATCAATAAAGTACTATCCTATCCTATCCTGTCCTATATATAAAAATGATATAAGACTTGACTATAGCCTTGAACATTTTTTTTGTAAATAATAATACTAATAATAAATAATCAGGTTTGCTTTATTGCATTGGTGCTTGACACCCTAATACAGCTGCTGCAGGAATAAATGTTTTTTTGTTGTTGGTAGAGAGTCTGTTCAGCTTATTGAGGGTTTATGGGTGACAAAGGAAGTGAAAAGGCTCAGCAGTGGTTCTCTTTTTTCTGTTTGCCAAAAATCTACAGATTTTTTGCTTGATGCTGCAAAGATGTAGTTCAAAACAAACTTAATGGATATGGGAGCTGCATAATCATGTAGTATTTTTTTTTTTTTGTGAAGACCAAAAAATTAAAAAGATGGGTAATGTGAACTAGTTGGGCTGGAAACACCTCATTTAACAAAGCACCACCCCCTTGACTACGGTCTGTTTTTGTAGGATTTCTGCTGTGCTCAACCACTGTGACGACAAATCACACCATACTTACCGCATACTTTCTTGATTTATTCCACACGAAACTCTGTAAAAGGCTGCATGAACTTCCCTATCGGAACTGTTGGTGTTTCAGTCTACTTCAACTTGAACATTTTTTTCTTAAAATCTTCACCCTCACCAGTGAGTCTATTAAACACTTAATTTACACACATCTGAGGTCATAGTTCCACTAACACACACCTACCTGTAAAACATGAATATACCCCTTTTCTGGCCTGTGCTCACTGTAATTGTCTCTTGTGTTGTATCGTAAGTGTATTGTCTCTTGGCTTGTAATAAAAAAATAAATAATAATAAATAAATAAAAATATTGATACCTGGCGGCCATGAGACGATATAATATCGCCACATAAAATATCGATACTATGCTGTATTGATTTTTTTCTCCCACCTCTACTATTACTTCTTCATTGTGGTTGTTCTGCATGTGAAAAAAGGTTTTAAAAAGGGTTGAATTCCTGAATAAAACATGTAGGTTCAGTATTTAATGATCTTCTACGTCAATGGGAGTTTGTCAAGCTTTAGGAGGAATAAGAGGAGGAAACCAAAATTTTCTGACACTATAAAGGGACCAGAGGCGTTGCTTGTGGACAGGCAAGGTAGGCGACTACTTGGGGCCCCCCTGCTGGACTGAGGCCCCAAGCAGTCGCCTACCTGTTGCCTAAGGGGGACAAATTTAAACGTTATATATGTAACTTTTTACATGTATAAATCGTTTTTGATCGCCCATTAATAAGCGAATGGTTAACTGATGTGAAAAAGTAGATGTTCACTGTCTGTCTGTTTTGCCTGTATAAAATGTTTACTCGGGTCGTATTTTCCACAAAAGCTCCAGGTAGTGACGTTATATGCTCATTCTCGACGTCCTCCTCACTCCGCTTCGCTTACAGAGATCAACAGAACAAACTCATCACACACTCCCGCTCTCAGCCAGTGCCTGCCGAGACAGTCGTTTGTAGGATGGAGAATCTAAAATGGAATCTGTTTGTACAAATAAACGACCGACCTCAAACACACCACACACTCCTTCACAGACGTTCCCATGTGTATGTCCACTTACCTCCTCTGTAAAGTGTTTTCGCGGCCGAGACTAGAAAGAGACAGGTGACTGGTGCAATTCGCCTATCGGACTGCGGTGTCACTACAAACACAGTATTTTATTTAAGTAAACATATTGCTCCTTTAACAGTACTTAATCTCAGTTACAGTGTTCACGCTTCACAACCCGTAAAACAACACGTTTTGTTGTCTTGGTATTTGATTGCTTGTGAAGCTTTTGTCTGGGGAACAGAACTTCCTTTGTCTACACTCCTGCAGCAACCAGACAAACAGTTGTATGAGTAACATCTTCTGTGAATTCAAAAAGAGACAAACACTGGGTTTCTCTTAAACACATCGACAGAAATTCACTTTGAGCTTTAGCCAACAAATTCCCTTCATTCCAGTATTGATAACAGCTCAGTGTGACTCATCAATCAACACTTTAGATTTCCTTTCTCTTTCTCCCCTTTCTACTTGTTTTAAGATTGTATCAGTATTACAGCCAGTCACTTGAATGTGATTATTGCATGACTTAGTTTTGAGCTGTGACTCCTTGTTAAACAAAAGCCATAGCTCAAGTCAAGCAGAGTTTTGCTTCTTTATCAACATCCGTGTTCAAGCAGCAAACTTGTACCGTTTGCGTGGTTGTAGCTTGCTTTTTTAAAATTTGTGGTTTTCCATCTGCTCTTCATATGACAAAAGGTTATCTGTCATCTTATCTCTGGCTTAAAAATATATAACAAAGCATAGTTTCCGTTGGTAAAAACAAAGAGTTTGTACATTTTTTCCGATTAGCTCTGAAAGAATGAGAAAAACAGAGACAAGGGTTGTTAGATTGCGGGACCAAACTAGCAAAAGAGCTGCAAAGTTGAACATTTGTGGATGATGACATTCTGTTTCCTAAAAAAACAATTTATATTTACTTGTTCACCCGTCCAAAAGAAAGGGTTTTAATGTTTGTCGGTTTCTTAAAGCACATATTAGTGCATATTTGTATTATATATAAAACAAGGATTATTTATTTCATATCATTCAAAGAATTAATTTATTTCATGATTTGTACAATCATCAAAAGACGCGTTTCAGCTGATGGTTGTGTCTTGGATGTTTGAACATTAAAAATAGCATCCACTCAGCATGCAGAGGGGACTCAACTGTCATGCATGTCTGTCATACAAGATATTTAATTTTATAGAAATAACAAGGCATGACATTTTACTCGAACATAATATGTTTATACCGCTTTGAAATACAAAGTAGTTTTCTAAAGAATCGTTTGACTAACATGAAAAAGAAGGAAAGTCAAAACATTTTTTAACCTTGCTCTTACTAACTATAGCTAAATAAATGAAAACCTGTGAGATAACATATAGGCTCCAATACATTTACATTTAAAGATACAGGATCCAGTTTGATCTGTATCTTTATTTCTTCACACACAAGTTTTCATTCTAACTGAAAAGTGTAAGACATACAAATACATTTTTTGTACTTTTATCTTTATAGTGGCTTCACTTCTTATATCAAAAGTCAAATGTTTCCAGACCAAAAAAAATAGAAGGAAATTGAATTAGTGATATCATTTGCATGACTGTGTTAGAGAAATGAGTGGGCTCAGTCCTTCATAAGCCATTCCTACAGGCGGGATTGTTTCAGTGTCTCTGTCAGTCTGTGGTTATTTCACACAAGAAGAAACTCGTTGCCACCTGTCTCATTGAAAAACTGAGTATGGTTCTGCTCAGATGGCTTTTATTGACTTTGATTTTTTTTGAACTCGTCTTTAATTTAGATGCCAGGTCATGCCCAAAAGGTAAAGTTTTGACTTTCTTGTATAACTGTGATTTTCCTTCTGTTCTTGTAGTTTCATTGATTGACTTCCTCTTTTTGACATGTGCTTTGCTGTGTGTAAAACATGCTTTTTTTTCTTCTGACACTGTGAACTAAATCAAGGTCATAGAGTGGTAACTCGTGGATGTGAGTTATGCCCTGATAAATTTTACCAGCCTGACACGAACCCGTCCAAAACTTGCAGATTGTGTACACATTGCGATGAGAGTAAGTCGCTTTTTTTAAATCTCTGCAAACTCAAGTTTCCAAACAAAGGGACTGTGTATAATGTGTTAAACTGCCGTTCTTTGACACAGAAATGAATGCTCTCTTTGTAGACTCGGGAAGTTTTGTTAAAGTGGAATGCACAAGAGAGACCAACAGAATATGTCAGTGCCTTAAAGGGTTTGTTGCCAGTGACAGTGATTCTTCCACTTGCAAATGTGACATAGGATATGGCAAAAATCAAAAAGGTAAAGAAACAAATCACACAACACTGCATGCGATATGACAAAGAAATACACAGTTTAATGATTATTTTTATTTCTTCGCTAGAATGCTTAAAATGTGAAGATGGATATTTCAGCAATCGTATCAACTCACCCTGTCGAAAATGGAAAAAGTATGTCCACTTAAATGAATGTTTTAAAACATTGATAATACCCTATATTAAATAACTATGGTTTATTTTTCAATTTCACCTCCCATAAATGTCTATTTTGTTTTTTTCTTTCTCTTTTATCATTGGATTCATTTCATTTTACAAATCTTTTGTGTGACATGTAGACAATTTTTGTAGAAGTTTACAGCTGTAGGCTAACTTCTATTTATCATCCTAGATGTAGCGCAGGAGTGAATATTACTGGAACTACGACCTCAGATGTTGTCTGTAATGACGAATCCAAGACCTACGTCACTACAGCCTCTGCAGGCCTCTTAACTTCTTTAATCACACGCGTGACAAAAGAACGTTCACACAAGGGGGCTGAAATTCGGAAGGAAGATACCACCAGGAACCCCTTATCCGTCACATCCGCTCCAGTACAAAGAATCCCCCCTGAGCTAAAAGTGAAGCCTCCCACTCCCTCTAACACAAGCAGTTACATTGGTAAAACATTTCCTGCCATCTTTTTATTGTCACAATGTCAGAGTGGTAATTCATGTTTAATAACATACAGCTTTTTTTTTTGTCTTCTTCAGGTATTATCCTCTTCCTATTTTTAATTGGGCTTCTTGCTTTGCCTGCTGTGGTGATCTGCAAGATGTACATAACTCCTTGCCGACAGAGAAAACCAGCGGTTCGAAGTATGTGGCAAGATTTATGCACAGTAACAGTAAAACATTTTGAGAAACAAACTAGAGCTGCATGAGAACATTCACACCTCTCTTTTGGATAAATATAACACTAGATAACGTTAGTAGGAAGGGGGGGAGCAGTTCGCTTCAGTCTGTGCGGAGTAACGTATCCAACCACATCCCCACTTCTTAAAGCAACAATCTTTTTTCTTTTCTTTTGAGCTTCCCCTAAGATAGTAAGTGGTATACACAGAATCATTTTTTGGACCTCAGTCATAGCAACCGTTTACTCACAATACTAGAAGTATTCTTCAAACCTAATGTATGCAAGCCTTTGGGAGCATTGGCCAACTTTTTGGGGCTTATTGTCCGCCTAAGACTTCCTTTTATGTTGCCTTTTACAGTCCAACAATTTAAGACATTTACAAAGATTGACGTTAGCTTTAACAGATGACAAATGACAGCATTACTAGCTGGTCTATGTGTTCTGCCTCTTTTGCTCTTCAAAGAGACGGAATTTCAGCGTACAGCGAAGACCAACAGGAATGTTTGTGAAGGATACTTCTCAGAGTTCTGTTGAAAAAGATTATGCTAGGAGACACCAGAAACTGTTTTTTTAAACCCGTACTGTGAGTTAAAGAGCAATTATGTTGCTATAACTCCACTTACCCTGTCAATGAACAACATATACAAGTTCAATAAGTATATAACCTTCTAATTAGTAAGGTGTAGATTTGCTGTTAGGCCCATTTTGTTACTTTTGGACAGCGACGTGCTGTTTACACTGCAATGTTGTTTCTCTTTCAGCACAGGACTCATTGTGTCGGACGCCGGTTGAAGAAACGGTCTGTCCTCTCTCAAACAGTATCCAAGAGAGCCCTGACGAGAAACTGGCAACAAGTCAACTCATACTGTGAATGTTCAGGTTCGATTCTCATCATATGCACGTTGTCTGACTGAGCCTTTCCATCAGGAAAAACTTCATGAAAATTATGTATTGATCTGTATTACAGCAGTTCAATCACAATATTGTAGTTCATATTTGACTTGCGTTCTTCTGTATAGGAGATAATACTGAATGAATATCAGACCTCACATTTTGGTTGTCATTCAACTGTAAATCAATTTAAAGTTATGTAGTGACAAGTACAGTTAGGCCTACTACTTTGGCTGAACTCCTTTAATAAGACCTGTATGATCTCATGATCGTGCCATAAATGCCTCATGTTATTTCCTTTTTTACATTCCCTCAATATGATAACTATGCTTTTTTGTGTTGCTTTTTTTATCTATAAGATGTGAAATAATGTGAAATATTTTGATGGGGCAATTGACAAGTTTCTGAGAAATGAAGTTGTGAACACAAATGTTGGTAGTAACAAGAATACTACTGATCCCATCTTTAATGTATCGACGGGAGTCTTAGAAAAAAAATGCTCTTTTCATGCAGACTTTCATGTGTCTATTTTTGGCTTGTTTTCTTTGATCAGCTTTGTTCCATTGATAACATGTTGGTTAAGCTGAGAACAGAAATTGTGATAAAAACATGCATTCAGCTGTATGTCGAATAGGGGAAGTCCCCCTCGTGTCTGTTTTTCCCCCCCCAACTAAGAGAAACTTACTGTCATGTTTTCGGTTGGAAAGATTAGTTTTTGCAAATGTTATGACTTTCATGTTTCTATACCTCACTGGAGACTTCCCCAGGTTATTGCCTCCAAGGAAACATGCCACACACAAGCCTTCAGAGCACATGTGACACGTTGTGTACCTGCTTGGCTCTGTGTCACTTGTAAGATCTTCAGATTTTTTTTTTATTTTAGCTTAGTGAGACAGTGCCCTCTGTGGGGGAATACTTAAGGTAAAAGAATAAGGTTATTTTTGTGTTGTATTAGTTGTGGGTGTAACATTTTCATCCTGTACGTGTGTAAAAGTTCCAATCCAAGAATATAAATATACTCAGTTACATTTACAAGCCATGCATTTAAAATTTTAAATCAATGAATCACAGCAGTAAAAAAATGAGTTTTTTAAAATACTTTTTATGGTCCCCATGTCTTGACATACAGTACACATACTGTATTACTGTATACTGTACAATACTGTATACTCAACCAAAAGATCACCATATTTTGAAGTTGAAGTTAGAACAACAAATTCAGTACATATACCTGTATAACATTTTTTTTTTAAAAGTATGTTGAATTCACTCAGGGATAGTTTGGATCTGTATTCCATAAATTCACGAGTTTTCCCTCCATCAGGGTTTTCTCACCTTCCTCTACTATGATATTTAAAAGTTGAGACAGAGTGGACAAACAAACAAATGAGTTATATAAAATGAATAGGGAGATAAAGAAAAGAAAAAACAGATTTTTTTAAAGCATAGAAAGTCTCTCCTGGATTTTTCTGTGAAAAAATGTTATCATTTGAACATTATATAAGTAAAACCTGAGAAGTTAAGAGGAGGAATTACCCAACTATAAACATGTTAAATGACAATCCTCAACTACACAGTTTAATATAAGAGCTCACTAGACAAATGGGTGGAGGATCGTTGATTTAATTGAAATGTCTCATGTTTTTTAATATTTGTAATGTTGCTATTATGTTCTATGGTATTGTCTGTGCTATTTGTTTTCCTGTAGTAAAAGTGCACTGATATGGCCTGAGAGTTTTTGAATAAATTTCTGTTAAAAAAAAACGTGTCTTGTTGTCTAACAAGTCATGAACAGTTCCTGCAGATGCTTTCTGTAAATGTCAGTGATTCAGGAAGTTGTAATGTGGTTTTGAAGATATAACGTGCATGTGACAAAACCCTCACTACAGAGGGAGTCTGACAAATCATCTCATTATCAATAATACACAGCCTCCGTCCATAAACATCATTAGTACATTAAACAGAGATACTGTATATTCATTTCAAATGGCTCTGTGTCACTAACACATATTCTCTCTTTGTATGTAATTCTGTAAATGTGAATACAGTGTCTAACTTGAACTGTTTCTTAGGGGAATAGTTGCTTCCACTGCAGAAATGATTGATAATGCTTTTTGTTGAGACATTGACTTAAATGGTATTTTTATGGCGGCCATTGTCAAAATAGCTACTCTCAGTTAAATTGATTTCATGATTTAATAAAGAACTCTAACAAAACTTGGCACCTACCTTACCCACAATGCAACTCTGACGTTCAGTCACCACAGTCAGGATTTAGGGTGTGTTTTGCTTACAGAACCTTATTAAAAAATATGCCTAGCCTAACGAACAGTTTAGAAGCAGTCCACAAACATTTAGAAAATTCAGATCTTTCTTGCTCCTCATCTATTTTCAGCTCTTATATATATATATATATATATATATATATATATATATATATATATATATATATATATATATTTATCTAACCTTTATTTTACCAGGAGAAAAACTCAATATTGAAAAATATGTTTTTCCAAGGCTGTGCTGGACACATTTCTTGCAAACCAAAGCACGACTCAAGTGACATCACGAGGCAATTACAAGCTCCCTCAAAAGGCTTAATTTAATTTTTCCTCACAAACAGTAACTCCTCAAGGGCCGCCATTAAAGACCAGTTTGTTAGACCTTTCTTACTAAACAATACTTTTGATGGCAGCTTTGGTGTCCCCCCCCCAATATAGTGGAGTGAGGTATCCGCCCTTGCAAGGGTTGAAATAGTGTATTAATTCAATGAGTTCGACCTGAAAGACATTAAAACTTCAAACAGGTCAACAATTTCTTCTCAGCTGTATGTGTTCTGTGTCCAGCAGAATATAAAGCTGGAAAATAATGTTCAGTGGTAGGTGGGGTCTTCTCTTTTTAATGTTGAAAAAAAAAAGCTTTTTAAAGAATAACTGTACAAGCAAAAGCAAGGAAAAGTTGAACCACAGCAAAGTTCGCAAAGGGAGAATTCTTGTATATTTAACTTTTCTTTTCATTTTAGAAAAATATTCACAGACAGTGTGATATGAAAATTAAAGCTACTGCAAAATGTATCTGCAAGTGACAAGTCTCTACTACCTAACATTGTCCCTAAAGGATATACTTTAACCTGGTAAGCTTTAATATTTTTTGTTGAAGGTTTTCCCCCAAATAGTGACGACACAGGTATGCCACCCACTCTCACCACAACAGAGTGGGTGGCGCTGCTGATGCACCCTGACTACTGTATGTACGTCTGTTGTTACGTCACATGCAGTAGGAGGTTTAATACAAGTGACTCTGTGGTTGTAACTTACTGCGTCTGACAGAGAGAGAAGTAAATGTCTTTGTGGATTTAGTCACATGTGATGGGGGTTGTGTGATTCAAAATGTAGGCGGACATCACCCAAACACTTAGAAGGGCTAGATTACATGCACTGGATTAGTCTAATATTCAAAGAATCATGCAAATACGGAGCTCAGGTAACATCTTGTTCTACCATGAAAAAAGTACAGGGTGAAAAGTCCTTCAGAATGAGTTATAGTCAGAGTAAGTGGGCTTGATTCAGTGATATTCTGTGAAAACCACAAAATCTGAATTCAACATCAACGGTAGTCTTTCAACCAATATTTATTTTTCTATATTTCTATATTTATTTATTATAGATAAGTCTGCTGATTAACTTTTGGTTATAAAATGAGGTGGTACATACAATGCTGAATCATTAATTACCTTTATAAAACACCAAACATTCAGTTAACAATCGTATCAAATAAAGGGCAATTTTGTTTTTTGCGATTCAACTTGATAATTGGCTGAAATTCTGACATTTTAATATTGTTGCAGTCATTTCAGCCCTTTTAAAAATATGTTGACATTTTCCTGGAATCTGCAACAAATCACAAAGTCATGCTACTTTAAGTTGACAACAGTTGATTGAACAGTTAAGTTGATTCTGTGCACATCATTGTGGGCTTTGCAGAATACGTACTTCCTATTGTCAGTGCAAAATCAATACTCAAATCAAATGCTCACCTACATGCTCAACATTTGCAAACATCACATGATGCCATAATGGACACACACACACACACACACACGCACGCACGCACGCACGCACGCACGCACACACACACACACACACACACACACACACACACACACACACACACACACACACACACACACACACACACTTTCTCTTTCACACAGGTAATGGTTTCATGTGTCCTAGGTTATGGGGTTTCCCTTGAGCCAAACTGAGTCAAAATCAGAATATTGAAATTATGAATTTTTCCACTGCATGTCATGGCCGATATATAACCTCTTTCATTTTAACTCTTGGTTTAGTCCAAACACCTTACCCCCCCCCCCCCCCCCAAAGCAACCAAACATTGCATGCCAAAATTCCTAAATAATATACCTACTGTATATTCCAATGATATGTTTTATTATATGCTTTGTCTATGTTGTCTAAACCACCAAGGTCCAACAAAGATATAAAAATATGTTAATATATGAACATTAATTCTACACTCAAAATAGTTTTGAGGTATCAGCACTGGATAATACCAAATACGATAGAAAATGTACATTATTGCCTATTTAAAATACAATTTAACAACATCATTAAATATGTGCTAATCAGCACATTTGATTAAATATTGATTTTATCAGCTTTATTCCAGTGTCAATCTTGAACCCTTTCAACTTCCATTTCAATTTTGGAGGATTAAATGATTTTGAGAGCAAAGTTACAAATAGAATTTAAAAACAAAATAAACTAACTTCAGAAGAAACTCAAACTGGGTAAAATTAGTCATATCAGTTAAATTCATTGAGGAGAGAGCAGATAAAATACTCATTAAACACTCTGGTTTTGTTTCTATAGAAAATGCACGTTTCTTATGAAGTAGGAATACATTTCCCCCAAAAAATGTATTAATAAACTACTCATAGTTCTCTTTCAATTTAGAATGACTTCACTTTTACATCAGTTTGCCCCTTCCTGCCAGATGACTTTATTAAGATATCACTGATTACAAGTAACACCTTATATTTCCAGGTTTGGACTACATTTTTGGTCTTACACTAATTGGAAACAAGAGACAAATAGACCTAAGCCCAAACCTGTAGATTTAAATGTGAAAAGTACATTGCAGTATCCAAACTTTTGAGTGTATCATATAGGGAGGTGCTAAAAATCATGCTTTGATCATGTGTTTAGTTGCAGCTCTAGAGTGCAGATGTTCATAACGCTTTAATTTCTAACTGCACAGTTCCTACTGAAATTAGCAAAGCCTCTATGACTGACCTGAAACAACACGTCCTGCGGCAACACACACTTTATAGGAAAACCTTTATAGAAGACAGACTCATAAGAGTGAATAAATGAAATCCCTGTTTATTCTCTGTAAATCACAGACACAGTCTGATTTTGATGAACCAGGCTCCCCTCTTTAGGTAATAGTCCTGCACTGAAAATATAAAACACAGTTTAATAATGAAGTAAAATCAAAAGAGATATCTAACAAATGTATGCGGGTCAATGTATATGGGTATAAATAGAAAATACAAATACAAAACTAAATAAAACATGTTACTATTGTCATTCAGTTTCTACAACTTTTTTTCATTGACATGCTTCCTATAGTAACAAGGGGTCTTTCACTTCCTGAAGTGCTAAAGCGGTCTCTCACAATGTGTGTCTTAGCGAGCTAACCACAGACTGTGACGTCAGCACAACAGACAAGATAAAACCCAGAAGGAACGAGCAGAGCACTGGCCATTATGTGTTCTCTGAGCCTTTCCCTTGTGTTCATTTGTGTGTGGAGTATTTGGACTTCAGCATATGCTACAGTCTGTGGAGAGAATCAGCGAAAAGTGGGTGGTCGATGCTGTGACCTGTGCCCCCCAGGTAAAGGACAGATTTCATCTTAAAACAGCAAATTCAAATGTGCTTTGTTTAATTGGTTAATTTGTTACCTGTAATTGTTGTAATGTTTTTGATATAAGATAAGAGGTGACATTTTGGGGGTCAAGTATGAATGTTAATCCATCTGATTTTATTCAATTTTCAAGGGGAATATGTGAAGGAGCTCTGCTCAGACCACCAGCAGACTGTCTGCAGCCCCTGTGCAGAGGGCTTCTACTCAGATCAATATAACATCTTTGACGCATGTGAGGAGTGTCAGTCATGCCAAGGTGAGATTAAAATCCTAAAATTCTGATTTCTAGTGTATCTCCTGCCAGTGATGTTGACCATGCATTTTAAACAGTGGAAAAAAAAACACTGATGTAACCTGGAAGTCTCGTGGTTTGAGCTCTTGTCTCTTTACAGAAAATGCTCAGAAATGTACACCAACCACAAATGCAAAATGTTTCTGCCGCCCGGGCTTCCTGTGCTCCAACAGCGTCTGCTCAACATGTGAGGAAAACAAATGCGTCATGGGGGAGAAAGTGAACAAGACAGGTGAGAGAGGACTTTATATCAAAGAAATGTATGGTAAGCAGTTTGTTTTGAAATGAAATGTAACTGGCACAACTCTAGTTAGAAGATATCAACCACAGGAACATTGTTGATCAAGGGGTTTCACGCCAGGATGTGTGAGGTGCCAAATTGGAAATAAATGTGGGTTAGACAAAGCCGAGTTCGACAGATATACTGTAGGTTGGTCACAACCTATTTTTCTGTTCATAATTGTCATAACAGTGTTTGTGTTGGCATGAATGAGTTTTCACTCTGCTCACATATAATTAATTTGTGTGACTTTCAGAAATTGTTTATGCATATTTGATTTAAAATTAACATGTATGGATGCTGGCACTTTAAGTTAGTAAAAGGAGAGCTCTTCATAATAATATCAAGTTAGATGAGCTTCTAGAATTGTAGAGCTGACAAATTAAGCTTAATCAATTAATCGTTTGAAGAAAATGAATTGCCAACTATCAAAACAACTGATTTATCATTGCATTATTTATCAGGCAACTATGTCTAATATTTGCATGTATTAGCTTCTTAAAGGTGATAATTGACTACATTTTGTCACTGGCCTTTTTTAGTGGTGGCATGAAGTTTGTGTCAGAATGTCACCCCTGAACACCCCTCGATCCGGTCCTGGTTATTTGGGTTTTTAACTTGTTGGACAAAACAAGCAAGTTGAAGATGTCACTTTTAGCTTTTTATTTTTTATTTTATTTTTTTACTTTTAAACAACTAAATCATTAATTATTTAACAGTTTATAAAATGTGATGATTAAAGTAATTCTTAGTTGCTGCCTAACAGGTGTGTGACATTTTCCAGGTCTTAGGGATTTTAAGCTGCACTGACTTGAATGTGTATTTCATTCTTTGATTGGACATTCATTTCCTTAATGAAAACTTGATCAATGAAGGACAAAAATAGTCATGCAGAAAACAAGAGAAAGCTGTGATTTAATTGAACAAAAGTCTACGGCTAGCAGCTCTGAGAGGCTGTATTTAGTTAGTAAGAGAACCCTGACATGCTGACAATAGTGTACTTAGGCCTACATAACTTCCATGATTGATTTGTTAGCATGATAACACTTGCAAATTAGCAGTGAACACAAAGTGCAGCTAAGGCTAATGAGATGTTTTATTGTTTGCATGTACATAGTCAAAAATAAGTAGTAGTAGACAAATGACCATTTGGAATTATCTGTCTTTGCAGACAAACCAATGGGTAAACGGTTGATAGAGTATTCATATCGGTGTGAGCCGATATGCTCTGATACTGAATATTTTGATGTGAAGGAGAAGACCTGCAAGCCCCGGGCAAAGTAAGACCTTAAGACTTCAGGTATTTACAGTAGCCTAATAATTCCCTTTAAAGAGTTACATTCCTTTAGCATTTACACTGTCTGTTCAACAGGTGCAGTTTGTTTGGACTTTCTGAGCATTCTCCAGGGAACATAACCCATAACTCAGTTTGTGATGGAGGTGGTATGTAAATAAGTATTATAATGACATGAGCATTAGTCTGTTTTTGATAGAAATATGTGTTTTTTGCTGTAAAACACACATTCTCAATGATTTGACGATGTTTATTTTAAATGAACTATATTAACTTTGTATTGCAGTTTTGCCAGAGAGGCCTGGATTTGGTGGAGACATCATTCATGTGATCCTTGGCATTGGTTTTGTTTTGATTTCTCTCACACTACTTGGGGTTCTGTCTTATGCCAGTATAAAGAAGCTGAGAAAGCACAAACCAGGTAAGTGTTGAAATAATATGTTAATATAATGATATAACGGTATCAAGTAAAACACATGCTGGCAAAAAAAAAGGATGCCAGTTAGTCATTGAAATTGAATCTCTGCTTTTCAAACAATAACTACAAAGATTTGAAAAGAACAGATTTGAAAGTAAAAATGATTAGCTTTGGTTCAATGTGATAAGGCAAGGTAAGGCAAGTGTATTTGTGTAGCACTTTTCATCAACAAAGTGCTTTAAACAGGAAATAGAACTAGACACAAAGAAAGAACAGTGAAAAAAATAAAAACCGACAGGTCCGACAGGTAACTAGTACCTAATCCAGATAAAGATTAATGGACAAGTAAGATCATTTTCAAGTTGATTATGTGAGGTACTTATAGCCTGTGCAGGCATCTGAGGATTCTGGTTATGCACTGAGCTTTTTGTCTGTGTTAGAAACCTAAAAGCAGCACTCTGTGTCCGCTGCAGCTGTCTGATTTCTGTTTTTGTCAGACCAGGGAATAATCCATTGCAGTAGTCCAGCCTGCTATAGATAAAAGAGTGTACCAGTATCTCCAGCTCATGCTGTGAGATCATGTCTCTGATCCTTGCAGTGTTTTGGCCCCAAAAGAAATAACTTACATTTTTGTCCTCTTTAGAATACTTTTACTTGCATGTCTTCTACATACATGTGATACGATATATCTAAATTTGCTCAAGGCAACATGTATAGATTAAATACCAGTGGTCCAAGAATTGACCCTTGTGGAACACTTAAGTAAAGTTTACTCAATACAATAAGCAGCTCACCAATCAAGGGAAATAATTACAGAGAGCAATACATTAACACTTTATAAAAGAAATACACTACCTTTATAAGACTAAAATGAGAGTTGGCTGGAGTTGCAGTGAGTATTTGATAATGTGTGTGTTAATTAAGAAATGTTATATTCTTTCTGCTTCAGATGAGAAACCTGTCTCCACCACTGTCAGTGACTTCCACCTGTCAAAGGAGGAGAGCGGGCTCCAGCTCATCATCCAGGTTGAACCCAATAATGAAGACAGTTGGTGCGACTCTTTTGTGGAGGGGTCAGAAAAATAATATTGATTCAAGAAATTACTGTATACAAGCATCTTAAATCATGAAACACAGATTTAAACACAGAGAAACCTCTTCATGTAAAATACTGACTCCTAGGTCCACTGGACAGAACTAGGCTATCATATGCAGTAATATCTTCATTATAGCCAGTATATCTTCATTATTATGAAGTACCTTTGAGCAAGGCATTTAACCCCAGTCTGTTCCAGCAAAGGGGTCACAAGATTATGTCTAGGTTTGAATGTGAGTACCTCTAAGTGTAATTGAAATAATAGTAGGCTAATTAGTCAAGGATGCTTTAGTGTCGACTGTACACTTAATGCTAATTTAAAATGTTCAATGGAGCATTGGGATGGAACTATACAACTATTTTGTAAATGTGTTGTATTTCGATGTATCTCTGAATCATTTATATTTGTTGTTTTGAGTAAGTTAAGTTTACGTTTTTAAGACTTTTTTTGTTGGGTTGGCAGTTCAGGTCCCGGCTCTTGAGGTCCATGTAGGCCTATCCTGGCTCAGTCAAGCATCCTTCTTCCCCCGTGAAGGGGGAAAAAAAGAAGAAAATCAAGAACACTGAGTCAAAACATACCTTGACAATAAAAAGAAAAGGTTTTAAAGATGAGAGGTGAAATGTCTACCTCAACCAAGTCCTGATGCTTTTTGGATTTAACTTTTAATGACTATGACTGACAACCTTCACAGGCATATACTGCATCATCTCATGTAGGCCACTTCACTGAAGTGGAAGCAAACATGGTAGCCTAAACATTGTTGTCTACTTCCTTGCAGTTATATAAACCCAACCAATCAAATTGCACAACAGGCAGCAGATCATTGGTCATGATCACTGGCATTAATCCTTACATATTTACACTGAGGAAAAATGATCGTTGTTTAGTTTTTATATATCATTACATAAGCTTTTTCCACACAAAACTGCACTGAGGTAGCAACTGTGCTGTCATTAAAAACCTGAAAGCAGGGGTTCTCAATCTAAATGTATTATGTTGTGCATTTAATGTTAATAAAAATGAATTTAAATTGGTGTAAGAAACTCGATGTGATTCCTTCGTGTGCCTGTAGGGGGATTCAGAATCGTTTTGGCAGACTGATCATATGACAGCTGCATGCGTCCCACTTCCCTTCCTCACTGGAAAACGCCACATCTGACAGGGAGGGAGAAACAGACACAACCACAGGGGAGTTTAAACACAGACCTCAAGATGCTGGCACTTATAAACCGGCTTCTGGACTGGTTCAAGTCTCTGTTTTGGAAGGAGGAGATGGAGCTAACGCTGGTCGGTCTGCAGTACTCGGGAAAAACAACATTTGTAAACGTGATCGCTGTAAGTCCTCAGCTGCTAGCCACCTCGCTTTAGAAAAGTGCTAATATCATTAGCCTTAATAATGGGATAACACTTACCAAGCTATGTGTGGGCCACTCTGTCTGGTTTTCGGGTGTAAAAGGACGCCTGTAAGGGCCGGTGCATACATTAAAACAAACCTGAACTACAGCCAGGTTGTTGTTTTTGTGTCAACAAGACAGCTGAGCTAAGTAGTTAGCTGCAGGTGGATCCTTTAAGGCTAGTTGCTTACTGTGTTATGATTGGGTAACATGCTAAAAACTGAACGCATTTGCTTTGTTGTGACTTTTATCTCTTTTAAACTATGGGATTATTTTAAAAGTAGGGCAAAGCTGTGAGCAACTTTTAAACACGTTGTTCTCCGTAAAGGATTTCCCCTCCAAAACACATGTTACAACATAATTTAGAGGGATTGTACACGTCTCCTGCAACAACTTGTAAGTGATTCAACCCTAAAACAAACATTTTGGAGCCTGTTTCTAAAAGTAAAGCTACTGTGTAAGTTAATCTGTAAGTTTTTCATTTGTTATTTTAACATATTTGGTAAAAACATCTGTTTATGCCACAGTGCATGGTGACCAGCTGCTAAATAACATGACAGTGAATGCACCATCTAAATGACTAAGGCTACATATATCATTAAAAGCTGTTAATGCTTTGCATATTTGCTATGTGCCATGACTCTCTATAGTTTATAGCTTTTGAATCAAACCCACAGACTAATAGTATGTTTTTCTGCGTGACCTCCTGTGACTGAAGATGGAGGCATTTCTCTTGTGCAACTTTGCAAAGTGTTTCTGGTGGAGCAATCTTTCATTGGCTAATAAGCAGACAGCACAAGTGTTTTCATGGCTTTGTTTGAAGTCACTGGTGACTGCAACGGCACTTATGAAAGTTGGCACACACGCATTTACTCCAAGTGACTTCCTCCCCTTCCTGCCAGCCATTCATGTTTTCCATCTGTGTAGCATGTAGCCTGCACTGATGTATACAAATTGAGTTCTGAGAGTGAATGCTTATTGACCTTAAAGTTTATTGTTAATAATCTCTGCAGTTTTTGCAAAAAAAATTACAGGCGAAGAGGAGTTACTGTAAGATGTGGTGTGCAGTTCTTGAACTAAACCTTGCTTTAAATCTTTTAAAGTGCTTTTTAAATTTTATAACAAACTTTTCAACTGAATTGACAGAACTAAAGTTTGATTTTACATCAGTGACAACAAATCTACATTCAAGCTCCAACGATTAGAAATATTAAATCAATGAAAGTTATTCCTTAAAATGATAAGCATTCAATGTTTCCATCTTTTAACTTGTGAAGATTTTATGTGTTTTTACATCATAGTTTACTGACTACCTGATGTGTTACTGAACTTTATTCTGACATTTCTTTTGGAAACTTCACCCTGGGCTTCAGGCAGATTAAACAATATTTATACATTTAAGACATCAAACACATTATTGATGAATCAAGAAAACATTTGGTTGTTTAACTGATAATGAAGATAGTGAACAAGTCAATGAAGAATGTAATAGCACAGTTTCAGGTGTAACATTTGTCTTGACAGTAGCGACTATAACCACAAGTGTAGATGTAATAAAGTCGTGCTCAGGAGACCGAAGACAACTGCTTTGATTACACATCTGCAGAAAATATTGTCTTTTCTGAAAATGTTCCTTTATTAACAGCTGCTTTCCATTGTGCGCTTAGTGTATGTGCACAAACTCATTGTCCGAGGAGGAAGTTGCTTGTTGGGGTTGGAACTAAAAAAAAAAAAAAAAAAAAAAAAAAGCTCCACCAGTCAGTGAATGGTTGTAGCAAGGCTTGTTCCTCCTCCTTCTTTAGTCATAAGACTGCTGAACTAAATTCCACTTAGCCTCATCAGGTGACTCCAGCAAGTCATGTGCTGAGAAATGTGTAGACAGCAGACAGTGCGTGGGCAAAGAGGGCAGAGGTAGAAGAAATATAAGCAGCTTGTGAGGTCTGATTGTTTATATGCTGACGTGGATTCTTCTTCTTCCCGCTCCAGTTGAAATAATGAGCGTTCGCCAGACCCTTAAAATAGCAAAAGAGACGACAACTAAATGCAAACAACAAAACTAGACGATGAAACCATTGCATCCCCCCACACACACACACACACACCCCACCTTTTACTTCAGGTAGACTCAGCTTCTCTGGGATGCGCTTTTTTTACATCTGATTATCTTTCTAACCTGTGACTAGTTAACCGAACTGGTGTTTTCTTTGAGCTTTTCACTACTTTTCCAGTTTATGTTAACCAACATAACATTTAGAAAGGTATTGTAATCATCAAATTCACATAGAGAGAACCATTTTCCAAAAGAATGACCTTTCTCTGTTTCATTATTTGATTTGTTGTCTTTTTGCTATTTTCAATGAAATAGGGAGTTTTAATGTTTTGAAAATCTTCACGTTCTGTTTTTTATATTTTGCACACTGTCCTAGCTTTTTAGTAGATGTAGATAGAGGTGGGATTTATGTAAAAATCGAGATTCTTCTCTTGTGAGATTGTAAAATAAATTCATAACTTTCCTAAATCAGTCACTCCCTGCTAAGGCTAGCTCTTTAACTCAGTAGGATGCCAAATGGAGCAGCAAGAAATTCAGCCAGTCTCACAGATGACTGGAGTAGATCCTGAATGTACTTATTCAAAAAATAGACATTGAATCATGAATCCAGAATCAGTTTGAATCGAAAATAGATTCTGAATCGAGTCGTGACCCCAAGAATCGTAATTGAAATGGAATCGTGACCCCAAAGATTCCCAGCCCGAGATGTGGTTGTACCTGTCTCTGTATTTTCACAAGTTTGGACATAACATATTTTTGAAATAATTAAAATCTTAAAAGCAGTGTATAATAATTAGAAGCTACTATAGTGCCATTTAATTTGCTTATATTTTAAACTGAATTAGATCCAGTGCATCATGTCATAAATATTATTTTTTCTAATAACGCACAGTTGTACATACTGTTTTTATGCAGGTATGATGCATTGTACTGTGGGTCCAGATAATTGTGTACACAAACACATACACACATCCCACCACATGTGTACTGAGAAAGAATTTGCCCTGATTTTTTTTTTTTTTTTTTAAAGAAATGCCCTCTACTTTTGTTTGTGATTTCAGTCTGGGCATTTCAGTGAAGACATGATCCCTACAGTCGGGTTCAACATGAGAAAGGTCTCCAAAGGAAATGTCACCATTAAGGTATTTTAATCATTCTACTTTTATCACTATGTAATTAAATTAAATAAAATCAGTAGACTGCAGTGAATGTGTTTTTTAATGACATTGGAAACATGAATATCGTGTAATGACGTCTCCTTGATTCTGCAGATCTGGGACATAGGAGGCCAGCCAAGGTTCAGAAGCATGTGGGAGCGGTACTGTCGGGGAGTTAATGCAATTGTGTGAGTGTTACCCCAGTTTAGATTCTGAAAATGTCTCAAGAATGTCTAAGATGACATAAAGTCACTTTTGTTTCTTTTTTGTTTGCTCACTTTTAGGTACATGGTTGATGCAGCAGATCGAGAAAAGGTGGAGGCTTCCAGAAATGAGCTTCATAATTTATTAGACAAACCTCAGTTGCAAGGAATTCCTGTAAGTTCTCTCATGGAACCATTCTGGGAAATGTCTGCATCAGCTTTGTGTGGGCTCTGTCTGCACATTTTGATTGTAATGTGTTTTTAGGTTTTGGTACTCGGTAACAAAAGGGACCTCCCCACTGCTCTAGACGAGAAGCAGCTCATCGAGAAAATGTAAGTGTGAGCAGTTCTATTATTTACACAGGTTCTTTCTGTAATGTGGGGCAGTGGCTGTAGCTCAGTTGGTCGAGTTGTCACTCTCAACCGGAAGGCCGAGGGTTCAAACCCCAGCTGAGCAACATATCCGATGTATCCTTGGGCAAGACACTTAACCCTGCATTGCTTCCGCTGCTTCGGTGGCGGTGTATGAATGGATTAGTGTTGTACTTGCTTACGTCGCTTTGGATTAAAGTGTCTGCTCAGTGAATTGTAACAATTGTAATGTAAAGGTCCTGATTTATCCCTATGAAGCATTTAACTTGAATAAAATAAGAGCTCTAATAGAATAAAATAATATTGCTATTTTACAATATGACTGTTTCTCTTTGTTGTTCTCTTTGAAAGACATGTGTGGTAGAGAGAATACTTCATTTCTTGAATTAAAATTTGAGCACTGTTGGGTTGAATTTTTCATACAAGGAACTGGCTCCCTCTGCTGTCAAGCTGGTAAAACCACAGAAGAAGTGCAGAGTTGTGCTTAAGTGTTTCCCAAGAGCTGCAGATGAATAAAACTGAGATATTCTGCCTGAATGTAAGAACTATATATCCTTAATCTATTTCTATTACCTTTCTCCTTAAAAAGGAATTTGTCAGCCATTCAAGACAGAGAGATCTGCTGCTACTCGATTTCCTGCAAAGAGAAAGACAATATTGGTAAGTTTCATGATATGATTTTGGGATCATTCGTATCTAATTTTGTCAGCTCACTTTTAGATCTAAAGTTATACCGATCAAACCCCCTCTAAACTATGACTTCATACTGATAAGCTCCAGAGATCCACATACTTTAGTTTTAAAATGTAACAACAAGCGTCCACTTGCTGTGGGAAATGCTGATAAGATCTTGTTGGTTAAGCACAGGGCCACTGTGACCTCACCTCCATCCCTTTCTTGTGAAAGTGATATCTCAGCAAAGCTTGAAGGAATCTTATACAAATAATAATAATAAGTATGAATTTATTTGTATGGCATCTGGCTTTCAATAGAACAACGATACAACGCTGATAAAAGAAAAGAAATCAAAGAAAACATGGGTTCTGTTGGGGGTAAAAACAAGTGTTGGTAAAAAAGTCCACGATCAACTGGATTGTGAATCAGTGAACTCTCATTTTTAATGTACTCCCACATATGTCACCCTTTTGTATTTAGGGTCAATCTGTATTTTATTTTGTAACAAGCCAATTCATAAGAATTAACAATGTTATCTCAAGAGCCAGTAAAATATCTCACTCTGTATATAGAGATATATTGAAACGATCCCAGCTATACTTACAGTGGTGTATGTAAACTGCAACTTTATTAGTTGGCCAAGGCACACAGCCATAGATAGTCATTACTGTATAGCCTTACACACACACACACACACACACACACACACACACACACACACACACACACACACACTAATGATGTTGCCATAATTCTAATTCTCCTAACAATACTCGCTAAAGAAACATTTTTCTTTTGATTCACCAGTATATTATACTGTTAAGGCTGGCATGACAAAGATGTCTTCTTTTTTTATATATATATTGACAATGTTGTTGAATTGTGTCGCTTGAATTTCAGTTTATAAGATATATATATATAAGAATATTTATATATATATATATATATAAGGGGAATGATTACTTTAAGCATTCAAATTAGTGATAGAAGTCTTTTAAATGGCGTTCTGTGCAGCTCAGTCTAACCCTTCAATCTTCCTCTACTTCCAGACATCACACTTCAGTGGCTCATCCAGCACTCAAAATCCAGGAGGAGCTGAAAATGCAGGAGTTGTTTTCCAGCTGTGTGAGCCATGTTATCGTCATGCCACACCCTCATCACTCTGCGATGATGTGCTGTCCTCTACATACATGCTGCACTGTTGTGCTTGTGCCACACACACATTTTCCCCCTCTTTTTTTTTTTTAAACCATGTGATGTTTTCACAAACCCCAAAGAATGCACTACTAAAAATGTGATTCTGAGACCAAATTTTGGAAACACAATTGGCATTATCAGCCTTCAAAGCTGTATTCTACTTAAACGTGCAGTAAAAACCTAATTGTCAGTCTACCTTTTATCAAATCAAATATTCTTTTGTTTTAAAACAGTCAGGCATAATGCTGTTTAGGACACGCAGGTTTTCATTCCTGTCGACTGACTGTCAACTTTTGCTAGATAATGTTTTCTTCTTTCAAGGACACATCTATTGTTATAGAAAAATGATGCATTATAGAAAGTAATTTGATGCAAGTCTGTACAAATATCAAGCTAGTATGATTTTTACTGATGTGAGATGTGTGTGTATGAATATATGATTCTATTTAAAGTTTGAATGTACTAGACGTAAAACTGTACAGGATTGTGTGGTTCATGTTGGCCCCTGTTTGTCAGCAGCCTCGGTGGAATGATGTCCCTTTTAGCTGCCTGGAGGCTGAGAGAGCAGCAGAATACCAAGTGCCTTTTGCAATGTCTCTCACCTCTGAAGTGAAGCAAAGCAGCGTGCAAGGTGTGCCTAACTGAGTCGATTAAACAAAAAAACACCACTTCAGTATATACAAGAAATAAATAGGCATGCTTTTTAATTTAGACATTGTTCTGTTATTTGTTCACCAAGCTTTCAACATTTGTTTCATCATCACTTTGTACACTGTCGCACCTCCACGAGCGCTCATTTGTTAGCTGCAGGGTCATCAGCTGGGGACCACCACTCATAGATGTTTCACCACTTAACCCAGAACATCTCCTGGTGTCGAGGCGGTGAACAGGGACGTCTCCCTGACACTCCCTGCAGCTAACATTCAAATACCACCTGTAGCTTTAGCTCAACGTAAAAGTAAAGACCTCTGCTCAGTTTAAAAGTGGTTGGAGCTTCTCATGCGGATTTTACCTAAAATCGATCGGAGGGTTAATATTTGTTTAAAGTTGGACTGTGATCTGGCCAACATAGAATCTTCAACAGAAGTTATGGTCCCTCTAACTCCCTCCACATTAAAACAATAATCTAATTATACATTTTTATGGAGTTACTTTTCTAAACTAATTTTAGTACTTAAGAAAGAATAAAGCAAAGCGCATCGAGCCATGAAAGGCATTTAGAACTGGCAATATCAATCAAACCTGTAAAACAACACAACACAATCATCAGCAATAGAGCGATCACTAAACAGGAAGAGCTCTCTGACAAACGTATGTTCAAGGAAAAATAGAAGTGGTCACTGAGTCTTGTGATCTGATCTCCTCGGGCAGATTATCCAGAACTTCTGCACTTTAAAAGTGTCCACCTCCATTTGTAAAGTAAAATGATTTGCATATTTATAGATTTTAGCTCAATATTTTTTTGTGTGCCTTGTTGAACTTTTTATTTATTTGATGAAGATTTTTGGTACATCGATCCACCAGAAACCTTTTTAAGAAGAATACAGTCGAGCCAGTCAAGGGATATTTCACAGCCACCAGATAGTTTTTTGGCTTCACTATTGATCAAAACTAATTTATATAAGTGATTAGTAGGCCATAATGTACAGCATGTTGCATTTATGGGGTTTCTATTGCAACCTTTTTCTTATATTTCCAGGTCTGTATGTGTGTGTTAAACCTGCGCGATTCTCCACATTTGTTTGCGTTTGTATCTAAAAATCCCAGAGACTTAAAGACACATTATGTTTTGGTTTTAAAATTTCCGCACCCCTGAACGTCTCACTCTTGTGGCTGTTTCTAATTGGTTAATAGGATAAAGTTCGACACGTCATGGCTGCTCTGGAACGTAACTAAAAGATTGACAGCTCTTGGGCCAATCAAAGGACGAACTCGCGGCAATTTAATTTATGACGACACAAGGGCAAACCCAATCAGATGTCAGGATCTCTGCGAAGGCTGGTATGTTGACAGGAAGTGTGTAAGGCGGAATCACTACAATCAGCGGTGCTTGTAGTGTAGCCGGACTAACAGGACTTCACATTTGTTCACTCATCGGGTACGTGTGAACCTAAATTATGCGTTTTAAGATCGACTCGGATCAAAGATGCAATGGAGGTCATTAGTTGTTGGTCTTGTCGTATTGAGACTCTCAGTCAGCTGTGTACTGTGGCTAGCTTTCGGTCTCGGTCCTAGCGGTAGCTGGGGGTTCAACTTCCCTCTCGGTTTTAGTTTACAAAAATTAGACTTGTTATTCAGAGAGGAAAAGGGGATAGACCCAGGAGGGAGCTCCTGGTCTCAACGAATACAAGGCCCCAAGTATGAAGAGCCCGCAAGCACCTGTGCAAAGGTGGGAGAGGGGTCACCCAAGAGATCCTACATGAGCTTCTTCGATGGAAATAAGGACGAGTATGTCCGGAGATACAGCTCCTTCCCTGACACACTGAGGGAGAAAATGAAGGACATGGCCAAAGAAATGTTTTATTTTGGATATGACAATTACATGAAATATGCCTTCCCTGAGGACGAGCTGAACCCCATTGACTGTGAAGGGAGGGGACCAGACGTGCTGAACCCGTGAGTCAGAGCTGGCTACCTGAGCAGACTGGAAGTCATTTACATACTAACTGTACTGACTGTCATATTTGCATTTAGTTTGTTATCAGTCTAGAAATCCCTGCAGGTCTAATTTCTCTCCCTCTGCAGTCTGCTGCTTCTAACTATTCAATGTTTCAGTCACAGTGGGGAAATGTTTGATTTCTTAACAACTCCATCTTTTGTAGTTTTCCAGTTATCGATGAAGGTTGAGAGAAAAACTTTGCAGCTGCATCTAAGAGTTGCATGATTATTTATTCCTTAATGTGCTTCATGTTTTGGACTTTTTAATGCCAGAAATATTGAAAAATTCAAATCACATGCATTTTGCCAATGCAACAAAGACAACAATTTGACAAAATAACATCAATTAATTCTTGGAAGAGCACTTAGTACATCAAGTACCTTGATGCAAAACCATTTGAAGCGTCAGTGCTGCCTAAACAACTTCAAAACAATAACTTTTTGTAAAACCGAAAGGGAAATAGTCTTCAGAAGACTTCCAATTTTTCATTAAATGTATTTGATATTTCACATTTTTGTTTACAAATGACTTCAATAATGAATTGATAATCCAGACAGTTGCAGATTCATTCAAGGTTAATTTTGTAAGTAGACGAATAATTCCCTACCAAGATATCACACTTATCTAAAGACAAAAATGTAAGGAGTTTGTGTGCAGTTAACTTATTGACAAATTTCAGCAAGCCTAAGAAGTGTTTGCATACCAAAATCAGACAACTTCTGTACTAACGGTTTAAAAAAAAGTTTTCCTTCAGTGTGCTAAATGATGATGATTTGTTTTTCATTTTGCTCAACAGCAATGAGTCTCTTTCACTGCTTTAATTTCAGATCAAACATCAACATAAACGATGTCTTGGGGAACTATTCCCTCACCCTGATCGACACCTTAGACACCCTACTGGTAAGTTACAGTCAGTTGATGTGTCTGTTAATGTCCTGCTGGGTTGTCTTCTTCATGGCTCTTTAAGACACAACGTTATTACTTAAAAATATCTATTATGTGCAGGATTGATTACAATCCCCCACCTATTGTTAAGTTTGGATGTTTGGAAGGATAGTATGCTTGGAAAGGAGCTTAATCCATTTTCTGTTAGTCTTATGTTATCTTAACATCTGTTTTGCAAGAAACAGTCCCACAGGAGTGCTGTGGTTCTCACACTTCCTGTGTTGTTAGCTAACCCTAACCCTAACCCTACACCTGACAGGAATTCAAGTGGAGCCATGTTTCTTAACCGCATGTTGGTATGTTTCACTCTAACTTTGTCTGTCTGAAACTAAAAAAAGCAACAAAGCATCAAAATGATATCTTGTGCAAAAGTAAGCCATCCACTATTCATAATGATAAAAAAAACTCATTTTATAAAATATCTGAGGGCCAGTCAGAACCTATTTACAGCCAAATAAGCTTGTTTATACAACATATGGAGGTTACATAATAATGGGTTTTTCTCTGCAGGTGCTCGGCAATGTGACCGAGTTCCAGAAAGCCGTCAAGCTGGTAATAGATACTGTATCTTTCGACAAGGACTCAACTGTGCAAGTTTTCGAGGCAAACATCAGGTACAAATGTTGCTACTGTTTATATACAAATACACACAAAAGGGGAAACTATTATACAAGTAAAAGATAGACCAAAGCCTGAAATAGTGTGTATCAATATGGTTCAGATATTTTTTTTTTTTTTTTCAGTGAGTAACCCTAATGAGATATTTCTCTTTTCTTTGAAGGATCCTGGGAAGCCTTATTTCTTCTCACATCCTGCTGACAGACCCAAAACATCCATTTGGCAACGTGGGCTTTGAAGGTTACGATAACGAGCTGCTTCATTTGGCTCATGACTTGGCTGTCCGCTTACTGCCAGCCTTTGAGAACACCAGCACTGGCATTCCTTACCCCAGGGTGAGTTTTTGTAGGGCTACATTTCTATTAAATACATCATCATAGACATAAAAGGTAAGCTATCATATGAGTGAAGTTGCATTACTTTCTACAAATAATACAATACAAATGTGTGTATCACGCAGCATTTTGACTTTTTTGTATCTTAAACCCAGGTGAACCTTAAAACTGGAGTTCCCCCTGATAGCATCAATGAGACTTGTACTGCTGGAGCTGGGTCCCTGCTGGTGGAGTTTGGGATTTTGAGCCGTCTGATTGGTGATTCCACGTTTGAGTGGGTTGCCAGACGAGCTGTTAGAGCTCTGTGGAACCTGAGGAACAATGAAACCGGTCTGTTAGGTAAGCACGGATGTGTATTGTGTAGTTGCATAAAAATACATAATTTTCCTTGTCTCCTTTAACTTTACCATTGACCTTTTTAAAACATGTAAAGCAACTTGCTGTGATTTCTCCCTGTGTTTCTTAAGGGAATGTAGTTAATATCCAAACAGGCCAGTGGGTGGGCAAGCAGAGTGGTCTGGGAGCCGGTATGGACTCCTTCTACGAGTATTTGCTCAAATCATATATCCTTTTTGGAGAGAAAGAGGACCACAGGATGTTCCAAGCTGCTTATGAGAGCATCCAGAACCACATGAGGAGAGGGTGAGTCCAACACTTCAAGGTGTGACACTAAGGATGTACTACTGACTATTTTCCCTGTCGAATAAACGCAAAAGTAAATACAGACTAGTTGACGAGCCTAAAGTTAAGAGAGCGCTCAGAGAGTAGTCAAAATGTAGCAGAATTTATTTAACACGGCTAAACACGGGATCATAGGTCAGTACTGGCTATGCATTGCTCTGATCAAGTGGTTATGACATTTTAACATGATATAGCCTACATACAACTCGATCTCCATTTTCTACATCAAAACGCTGCCAAACCACTCCTTGCTATGAGATACTTCCATCAACTGTGCTGGTTTACATCCAGGTAGTAGAGCATTTTTGCAATTTGGCAGTTTTGATAATCCGGACATGCAGCAGCGGCTGTATTACACCTAATATATATATTTTTTCTTCCTAAATTGATAAAAAATATTCAAAAACAAGTTTGACCAACGAGTAATTCTGATGCCAACTTGCAATGATGTCAATGGGAAGTCTGCTAATCACGTACATCCCTTTGTGACACTGTAGGTTTTTGACTTCTAAGTTGTCCCTGAAACATTCACATGGATATAGATGAATCTCTGTTTATTATTGGAAGGATTATTTCTTACTGAAGGATCGAGGCTTGTCATAAGGTGTCTGATGAGACATGTGCACTCAAGTAGAAAAGAGCCACTGATAAACAGCCCTTGAGCAAGGGCGGCGACCTTCACTCTTCAATACATCAGTCAGTTTTTATTTATCTAGCGTCAAAAGTTATGACACTTTTTTTAATAATGAGCAGGTCCAGACAATACTCATTTTTCATAGTTTTTAAACCGACCCAGGCATTTCATCCATCATGAGCATGCACTTGGCAACAACGGCAAGGCAAAACTTCTTTTCAACATTCTGCTGTGATCAGAGTGAGAAATACAGTTTGATTAACAGAGACAGAAAGAGAGGGATGAATACATGCAGGCAGACAGGGAGAGGTCAGACAGCAACAGAAATAATAATTTAGGACTTTAGCTGGTCAGTGGCAAAAAATACATTTTGGATGCTTGATGAATGATTATGTAAAGCAGACGAGCTCAATTTTTCCACTCTACATCTACGAGTCAAAAGCAGGAGTATGTTATGTTAACACCTGCTCTGTGATTTGTTTTATCCAGAAGAGAGTCTTGTAATGAAGGAGAGGGGGACCCACCTCTCTATGTGAATGTGAACATGTTCAGTGGTGAAATCATGAACACCTGGATTGACTCCCTTCAGGCCTTCTTTCCTGGATTGCAGGTTAAAATATGCACCAACAGAAGTCTTATGTACGAGTGTTAAACATTTGTTGTTGTGTGTGTGTCTAAAGGAAGGTGTTATCCTTCTCTGTCCAAGGTGCTGAACGGTGATGTAGATAATGCCATATGTCTGCACGCTTTCTACTACGCCATCTGGAAGCGCTATGGCGCTCTGCCCGAGAGATACAACTGGCAGCTGCAGGCTCCTGATGTGCTCTTCTACCCTTTAAGACCAGAGCTGGTCGAGTCAACCTACCTGCTGTACCAGGTAACACTTCTGACCTGGTGTAACACGGCACTGGTGCTGGCGGTTGGTTTACATGATATTTACCTTTTAACCTGAGAGTCTTTTCTCTCCTCACAGGCGACCAAAAATCCTTTCTATTTGCACGTTGGAATGGATATTCTTCAGAGCCTCGAGAAAAATGCCAAAGTCAGGTGCGGCACATGTAATAAATATGTTTCTACTTGTATTTATTCATTTCCTGTGAGTTTTTACATCGCTTTGACATGTCTTATTTGACTGAGCGGTGTTTTTCAGATGTGGGTACGCCACTATCCACCATGTGGTGGACAAATCCAAAGAGGATCGCATGGAGAGCTTCTTCCTCAGCGAGACGTGCAAATACCTTTACTTGGTGAGTTACAGCCAGAGCAGGCCATGATAGAGCTAATCGATTCATTTTTTATGAAACTCTTCAATTTCACAAGAGACAGTCATGACTCAGAGACATTTACAGAGGATATACTTGATTTCTTCTGTATTTATGTGTATAATGTCACACATTCTTCCTTGAATGTTGTGTACAGTATATCTTTTTAATAGAATAGTCAAAATAATTCCATCAATACATTTAATTAATGATTACAGGTACACAAAATAGATACAGTAACAAATCCAAACATTTGTCAAACATTAAAAAAAGGAAGATGTTTTTCATCACATACTTTGATATTTGACGTAGTAATGGTTGTTAGGAAATATTCATCACAAGAAACCTTATAAGTGTCACTTTATTGATGTTAACATCGATATAGTGACCACATTTATAAGGTTTAAATCAGGGTTTTTAGGGTAATCAAATAGAAATAACTTTTATTTGGTTTGTGTCATCCAGCCATTGTCAGAATGACATTCCGTCTTGTACTGTCATATATAAAGAACTATATTTTGTCGCCTTGCAGCTGTTTGATGAGGACAACCCCCTTCACCGATCAGATAACAAGTACATCTTCACCACAGAGGGCCATGTGGTACCTATAGAGAGACGCTTCAGGGAGAAACAGTGGAATGACGATTTTCCTTGTGAAGAGGGGTTGCTGTCAGAAAGAGAGCAAAATCACCGGCCGACACCCAGCAACATCACCAACGTATGGCCCAACACATCTCAAAGTGAATCATGTCATATTGTAATAAAGCCTTCAAAAATGTACTTTGATTTTTTTTGATTTTTTTTTTTTACACCCCCTTCTGCAGTGCGACAGAATCCCAGAGGAGCGGCGCTACACACTGCCACTGAAGAGTGTCTACATGAGGCAGATCGACCACATGGTGGGGCTCTTTTAAGGAGGAAATACATGTGGGGAGTCTGGCATGATCAGGCCTTCAGCACACACACACATCCCCTCTCAAGTGCAGGTGTTAGAAAGGATCTACTCTCCATCAAAGTCCTCATCCAACTGTTCTGCTGCTCAGGAGGCTGACACTAAAGTGAACCTGAACACGCAGCTTGATCACATGCTGCATTCATTAAAAGTGTGCGTTTGTGTGAGTCATTTTGCTCTGAGCACGTAGTTGCAAAAGTGTAACAATCTTTCTTCTGGAGAATGACGAGCAATGCATCACTTCTTAATGGCTGGTGAAGAAATTAGGTTTAAAGTGTTTTAGAATAATTTTACAGAGCAAAAACAAATCTGTTAATGTGTTGGTTCAGATGAGTGTGTGTACATTGTTGTGTGTTTGTCTATATGTGTTTGACGTTACAGCCGAGCTGTGAATCACTATTTTCAGTTTACGGGAACAGTGCCATCTAGAGAGCTATTTAAAATGAAAAGCCTTTACAAACACTCACTTCTCTAAACATGACGATTAGTGCCTCTGCAGTGGATTCACTTGACTCCATCAGTACTTTAACATAAGGGCTGCTCATGAACACAATAACAGGGAGGCTCAGGAGGACTCTGGCTATTTTAAAGTGCCTTCAGTTTTTTTTCTTATTTTGATGAAACAGTGTGTGCTAGTTATGGATAACAAAGGACTTTTTTTGAGGTCATGGTTGGTATTGCACAAAAGGTGTCATTCCATGTCTGTGTTCTGTTTTACACTGATTAAGACTTAACGTTCATTTTTTTTAGACATGATGAAACAAGCCATAAATTGTATTTTTATGTTGTTGAATGAAAACGTATTTCTTACACAGACTTTGCTCCATGCTGACGGAAGTTCTTATTTTCTGTCGCTCTTTCTCATAATTGCACATCGTAATATCAAATAATTGTCATGTGATCAGAACTCAGGGTTCAGAGAGACAAAACAAGTGAATGCTTTCATACGAAATAAAACTTTCTTAAAATGCTGTTGCCTTCGATGTCTTAGGGCGGTCTTAATGTTTGACATTTTGCAGTTCTATACTATGAATATTTATCATTGTGATAAATAAAAAAGTTAGAAAGTGGGGGATGTCTCCTAGACTGATGTTCGAGTCCTTTACAGCTCTGTTGAGTTGTATTTTCTGGAGTTGTTAATGTCTTATTAAACATACTGAGTGAGCAAGAGTGTCTCAAATGAGCTGTAAAGGAAAGGTTCCACATTTTGGGGAACTGACTTGTTAACCTGAATTGAGATTAAGAGGTGACAGTGGTGGCAGTGTTTTTATGTACCATTTTTTTAATCTTGTGATTATTGCACAGAAATTGCAGATTTACAAAGCCTGCAGAGCAGTTTGACACTCATATATAGGTTAGAACATAGTTTATTATTAATGAGAAAGCAACAAAATGAGTTTGATAGGAATTTATGCCATAAAACAAATTTGACTAATATGCCACTGTATACCACCAGCAGTGGTTAGCTTATCTTAGAACTCAGGCAGGGTATGCATAAACAGCGATCATGGATAAAATATGTCATGTAACATTTATATTTGTCAGTTAAGAAGGTGCTTTTTGAAATCTGGACCGAGTAAGCTAGTTGTTTATTCCTGTTTATAGTGTTTTCACTAAGTTTATTCTTGTCTAACTCGGCAAGAAGTGAGTGTATTTCATCAAACAATGTCTTAATCTGTCTGAAACGTTTTCTGGTTCTGGTACCCCGGACATGAATAAAATATAAAAAATCCTTTCATTTTCAATGGAAGTGGTTAAATTGTAACATCAGCGTCTAAAAATCAGTGGTGTATCCATGCCTTCTTGCCCCTTAAGGAAAAAGACATTATTTACAGCTGGAGGTAAACCACTCTTAAATATCATGTCATTGATCTGTTATTTAATGATTGAGACATTGTGAACTTTCATGAACTGGAGATAAATTTAGGTTTGAATATTTAACTCTTTTCAATATTTATAGCTAAACTCTATACAGCCACCGGCAGAGGAAGTGTCAAAACTTTAAAAATTACTGAGTCATTCTTTTTCTCACTGTAATATGTCTACACTATAGCACAAAGGGAGAAAGCTCAGGGTGTACACCTCACAACACATCAGTGGAAAGCAATACTGAGTCGTTCAAATCACCTTTCAAAATGTCTTAGATACAAAATAATCCAATTGAAGGTTATGTGGCGGTTATATATTACCCCACACAAAATGAAGAAGATTTTTTGTTTCAGATTTGTGCTGGCAAGGGAGTGGGGTGACCGGCACTCTTATAATCAACTTTGGCACCGCTCAGACGTCCAGACATTCTGGATTAATGTGAAAGATCTTTTATGCAAAATATTTAATATAAACTTCACATTAATTTCAACAGTGGGTCCTTCAAATAAGATAGACGGAGTAACCTGAAAAGAATTATAACACTTGATCGGATTAGCTTTTCTATTTGTGAAACAGATAATACTTATTAATTGGAAGGTGAGGAAGATGAATTGTTAATACAAGTATTGACAGCTGGCTTAAAGATTACTTGAAATTGGTGTCAATGGAGCAAGCAGCATCTTTTCTCGAAGATCTGGACAGCGGCTGAGGATGTCCTTTGAGCCTTATCATGTCTGCTTTGAGTAAAAGGTTTTGATGGTAAGTCTATGTTGGTCTTTATCACACTGGACATATTACATATTTGTATATATTTTCTTTCTTCTTTTGGTATCTTCTATATATCTTATATCACAATTTGAAACCAATATATTGGCATCTAAATCAATGTGTTTATTTTTTTTTTTTTAAGATTTATTTTTGGGCTTTTTGTGCCTTTAATGGATAGATAGGACAGTGGATAGAGCCAGAAATCAGAGAGAGAGAGTGGGGAATGACATGTGGGAAGGAGGCCACAGGCGGGAAGTGAACCTGGGCCACACTTGAGACGACAGCCTCCATACATGGGGCGCGCGCACTAACCAGTGCGCCACCAGCACCCCAATCAATGTGTTTATGTATGTCTATGTATACATATGTATGTGTATACATGTTTAAAGGTTCCGTATATAGGTACATTTATCATTTTTGTAATCGTGCAATTTATATTAGGTACCCTCCATTCCCTGCCCAATCCATGTCCTGTTGAGGGGCATCTGATCTGATGCGTATTCAGTTAATTCCTCAGTGTCTGCCTCACAGAACAGCTATCACTATTGTTGTTGTTTTTTTTGTTTTGATTGTTTTTGTTTTTGTCCTGTTGTATGTGATTGTCTTTGTGTTATATCCTGCCCTGTCAGGGTTTTGATGTCCTAGAATTTTGTAAAATAAATAAAATATATTTATACAATTAAAAAAAATACAATTTTTTTAATCAAAATGCCAGAAAAGGAATCTATTATATAAAATTATTATGCAAGAAATTGGGAACAAGACATTGCTGTGTCACTTTTATTTTTGAAAAATGGAAGTCTACTCATTTTCTACAGAAGCTTTATTAAGCTCAGTTGAGGTTAACAATTATTGGTTTCCATACAGGATAGTTGGCTAAAACAATTAGTTTGCAAGCATGGCTTTAGACCCACATGGTGTTACCTCATTGATATTTTGTCCATTAGAAAACATTTATTATATACACTGGCTCAACTATTTCAGAAAGTTACATTCTCTATAACACTTATTAAAAATGCAAAATGTAGCCTACTTTCTGTTCATAAAAGCCATTTCTAAAGGCAATTTTAAAAAGACCTCTTACACAGGTTGTAGTGTTGCAGGAGGGCGATTCTGTTATCTGTTTACTCATTGGTTACTGAAGCAAATACTTAATGCATTAGCCAGACATTTATTTATGTAAGATTAAATCACTTTATACTGACGGATGTCTTATCTACAAGATTGCACAGCCCTCCAAAGACAAGTTCAGAAGACTTTTATGAAAAATCAGCCTGCCTAGAAGTCAGCTTGTCTGAATTCTGCACAGGATTTTATGATGCAAGAGTTGTCTTCTTCTCTCAGTTAAAAAAGTCTTTACTTTAAAGCTTCAACTTACTTTTGAACAAAACAAATTGTTTAAAAAAAAACGATTTTGCTTTCACTTGTTGGAGGATTTCTGTTTGAGGGGAAAGTTTTCATCTTCAGTCCTCAGTTGAATAGAGAAGAGATTTCTGTAATGTGACGGCGCTTGAAGAACCCCTGGAATAAAAAAAGGATATGCTTCTTGTTAGCTGGTCCCAACCTTTGAAATCTTAATTATCAGTACAATACTGCACAAACTTACTTCACCTTTATTATGTCTCAACATGGCTCTTAAAAGAGACCACAATCTTTCAGGTTTTCTTTGATGATGATGTCAGTGACGGCGTCAAACACAAACTTCACGTTCTCTGTGTCTGTAGCACAGGTCATGTGAGAGTAGATTTCTTTGATGTCTTTGCGCATGTTCAGGTCCAAGAACTGCATTTTGATGTAGATACCAGCGTCCTCGTAAGTGTTGGGGCCTTGATGGAAAAGATATTGGAGAAATCAGAACTTTTTCAGGCCTTAATTGTATCAGAGACATCTAGTGGTGAGGTTGCAAATTACAACCAACTGATAACTTATCCACTTATGTGTGTGTGACAGAAGATACAATGGCTTAAAAACTTGCAAATATTTAGAAACAGACTTGATTTGTCTCTCCTGGGCTTCTGTACAAACAACATGGCAGTGTAATATGGTTGTAAGGTAACACCCTACCCTTACGCTAACCCTCCTGTTGTAAATACAAAAAACTAATTCTACCAAATTGAGAACACCAACCCTAACCCTAACCCTACTCTAACCCTAACCCTAACCCAATATTATACTTTTCAGCTGATCACATAGTTCTAATTTTCTGCCATTAGATCCACTAGATTTGATGCACTGGTCATTTAAAAGTGGTGAAGTTTGCATGTGATAATCTCACCATCGTACTCAGGGAAGCACATGTTCAGATGAGCTTTCTTGATCTTCTCAATGAACACGTCTTTCTTGTTTAGAAAGAGAACGATAGAGGTAGCAGCAAAGTAGCGGTGGTTGCAGATACTGTTGAACAAGTGCAGACTTTCGTGCATTCGGTTCTGAAAATAAATAAACAGTGTTTTTACCTATAGTTCCAATAATGAGCCTTTCAGCCAAACCAACTGTTGATTATATAAACAAGTTTAGAATTTTATGTCTGAAATATTCTGCTATCGTACCACTTCGTCATCCTCAACGAGCACCATATCGTAGGCGCTCAAAGCAGCAATGAAGATGATACAGGTCACACCTTCGAAACAGTGGATCCACTTCTTTCTTTCTGATCTCTGACCACCAACATCAAACATTCTGCATGGAAACACAAGCAAGTTATATCTTTAGCGCAATCAGAGAACATTATGATGAGTTAGCCCACTGGAGAAATACTGCATTGACCTGAAGTGTAGATCTTTGAAGGAAAACGTTGTCTCGATGATACCCGTGGTCTTCACTCTTGATCGCAGCACATCCTGCTCGGTGGGCACGTAGCCTGGCTGGACCAGCCGCTCCAAATCATTCAGGTAGCTGAGAGATGTAAAAATGTAATTGCAAAACCATTTGTGAGTCTTGACTGGATCATTTTGGAAAATCTTAGTGTCTTACTATCCAGCAGAGTCATTGAGTTGGTATTCCGAGGCTCTGTCGAAGCACGCCTGTATGCCAGAGTCCTTCCATAAACGCAGAATGATGTCTGCCAGCTCTTTAGGCATGGTACCCTCCTCAATAGTGTCTGCAAGGTGCATCAGTTTTCGGGCATCATCCTGAAGACCAGAAATATGTTTAATACTACGTAAAATAAATATACACCTTGGAATCTCTTTCAGCTGTTGTTACCTGCTGATCTGAGTGTCCATAGTTCATGTTGAATGTGTTCATGGCCTTCACGATGGCCATGATGGACTGCAGGGTGTTGCTGTAGATGATGACAATAAACTCCAAGCATTCTTCGAGTGAGTAACCATCTTTGTGGATAATTCTGAAGCGAAAATATTACATGAGTATGTGTGATACAGTCAGTAAGACATTAAACTGATGAAAAGTCAAATATCTTACTTCATCTGTTTGACGATTGTGCTTTTTCCCGATTCTCCAGCACCTATTTAAGAAGATAAAAATACTGGATGCAGTTATTTGCATTCAAAATTACTACATTTGTATTCCAAATTTTTAACACATTTTAAAATATGACTGCATCTTATCTCTGGTTTTCGTGCTATTATTCATATTTCTGGTTTCATACTGTAAGTTGCGGCAGATGGCTGTTCACTGATAGGTCTGGTTCTGCTTGAGGTTTCTGCCGTTTAAAGGTTTTTATTTATCTCCATTTGGAAGGGCTTGTGCTGGGTCTCTCTTAGTAATATGAAAAAAAGAACATGATCTAGACCTGCTCTGTATGTTTAAGTGCCCTGAGATAACTTTGATTTTGTGCTATTAGTATAAAAAATGATAAATCAGTTGATTCATGTGGTATAGAAGGATATAAATTGCAGATAACCTTTACAGACAGAGGATCTCATCACATCTTAATACTTATTACTTCAGGCTCTAATCTCGTTTAAAGCTGATGTCAGGGGAAAAATTTCCCTGACCTATATTTTCACAAGGAGACGATGAAGCTGAGCAATCCAATAAGATATCCAATAGCAATCTGACACATTGTGAGCAGTTTATTCCTTTCCATAATGTACTGAATTCCAACATTACTGAACAAGCTAAAAGTTACGGAATGTTTTGGCCAATGTTTTTTTTTTTTTTTTTAAATCACCCAAAATTCCTACCCAAACAGAAGATTAAACAATGCCAGTGATGTGTTCAGGGTACTGAATTTGAAATTTTTGGTTTGGGTGGTAAAGTATCTGCGTCCTTCACAGTTAATCCCTTTGTGTTAGAGTGCCTGTTGTTTCAGGATTAACAAGGGATTGATTTGCATGACTATCAAAGTGTTTTAGCAATGACACAGCTCATAAAGCCTTTACCTGGCTCAAACATGTTGTTTAAATCATCACAGTTAACATAAATTATTAATTATTTCAAGATTATTGAGACTATAAAGAACGTCTGATCTGTTTGTGCTGATAATTCAGGATTAAGTTGAGAACATTTCAACCCAACCTCATAGACCTATGAGCTATTTGCTATAGCTATATTTGGAGCTATACCATGGGGCTCCAATGGGCCCTTAGATATGAGTAACCAAGGCGATGAGATGTACTGTAATTGAATCCAGGTCCTCTGTCTTTACCTAGCAGCAGCAGCTTGACAGTTCTCGCATCGATGTCAGCATCCTCCTTCAGCTTCTTCTCCAGCTCTCTGGAGCGTTTATCCTCAGCGCTCGCTCCAGCCCCCATCCCAACTTTTCCAGAAAAAAACTGTCAGGAAAAATGGATGTATGTCCAGTCAACTGTGCTGCTGATGCGTCTGCCCGCAGTAAACTCTGGAGAATGTTTGAGTATTTTCCTGTCTCAGGAGAGGATTTCGGGCATCCCAATCCCACCTGACCAAAGACGGCCAATGGAGCACAAGGACAGGAGCGTTTGAGGGCAGGGGGAAAGATGCAAGGAGTGGCAGACCTACATCAGGGAAGGTGTTCTCTCACCTTTAGGGGGACTTTGCTGCGCTCAGCGGAAGATGAACATCGGCTCAAGTGCTTATCTCTATACTCTTCTAGGGTTTCTTTAAAAGAGGAGCATAACAAGTGGGATAACTTGTAGCTGAGTGTCTGTGCCAAAAGAACACAGTCATCCAAACTAGACTCCTCTCATATCAGAAACAAATAAAAAATCGAACCTGATGTGGGACTAAATTCAGGCATCAATGTATGACATTTGCAATGGGATGGATTAAAATGATAATAAAACCCCCAAACAATGGCAGCAAATTGGGTTAAGTGAAATAAAAAAGGAGAGCCTTTAATGTTAAAGTCATAAAAAATGAAGAGAGACATTCTGACATGTTTTATATGACTGTAGACTGCAGGGTGAGCTGTGAAGTGCTTAAAGAGCTTTGTGGTTTCACCTGACAGATCTCATTGACCTCAATCTGAGGCTGGTTAAGGATTATAATCTACTCACATTTAACAAGGTATGCATGTTAACCTGAGTGTGCGAGTGTGGGTGTGTGTGTGTTGCACACAGCATTTTTCTACCTTCACAGTTGCAGTAGTTATTTATTTATCTCTTTTTCTATTCTTTCATTTGTACTTTTGCTCTTTTTTTGAGTACTCATTAGTTAAATCACTGCATTAGCATAACTTCAATAAAGACATTTAAGCAAATAATGTATTGAATACTGAGTAATATTTCATGCTACTTTTACATCTACCCCACTAGATTTTAAATATTGTTCTTCTTTACTCCATTGAATATGCAAAAGCTGTAGTTACTTAAAACAACCTACAAGCTTATACAATATGAAACAAATGTATAGTTTAAGCAACTTAATAGTGTGTTAAGTTAAAAAGGAAAATAATATTACCTTGATTCAACATGTAATTAAACTTTAACATCGGTATTATCACACATTTTTTCTCTATTGTGTAGTTCATTATTAAATATATTTGTGAATAGTACTATGGGTTATTTCAGTGTGGTATTGCACACAGTGCACACCAACAGATCAGAACTTCTGTTATTATAAAATATAGAGCTTTAATTTATTAGTCAGTAACATTGATGAGGAAGAAAAGATAGTATTTTTTACAAGTCATAACAATAACATCGACTGTGCATTATTTCATACGTTACTTTACCTCAATGAACCATAGTAAAGTCTACCAAACAGAGAAAATAAAATAGATGCACGTGTTTGAAATAATATACAAATCTGCTGAGAACGCGACAGAGAAAGAGAGAGAGAGAGAGAGAGAGAGAGAGAGAGAGTTGAAATCATATTCATACCTTTCTGTACTTAGTCCCACAATAAGTTGTAGGATGAGCACCTCTTTCTTGCACTGGTAGTTTATCCATATTCCCACAACATGAAAGACATTCACTGACATCCACGGCAACATAGTATTTTAGACAAATACTGTATACATACACTGTACATGCCATGCACAATGAAAAGCCACCCTCTGAAGATTTTGGTATACATGTTGTTTCTCTTCAGGTGTAGTGGTCTTTAACTCATTAGTGGTTGTATTTATGACATTTTTCTAACATTTTACAGTATGGAAGTTGCTCAGTACAAACAGTTCCTTATGAAGCATGTGGCATGTACGATAGCAGTATGGCACTGTGCTTGACTGACAGAAAAGTAGCTTTGAGAGCTCCATTGTTAACCAGCACTGATCAAAGTAGTCTATTCCCAAGTGCTGCAAATATGTAGCTGCTATCTACTGTAACAGGAGTGGAGACTTTATTGCATGATTAATATTCACTTGACGTCAGTGAAACCAAAGTTTGGAATAAAACTGTCAGGAATGCAAACCTTGGATACATTATAAGCTTAAAAAAATTCAAACCCAGGGGTGTGTCCAGACATTTTTGGCAGGGGGGGGGCTGAACTGTGGTTCTGAATTATGCCGGGGTGGCCTGAAGTATGTGTAGGCTCACACATAAATCTGAATAGCATTTATTAACCATTCATCCCGCTACCATTTAAACCGTATAGTCGTATAATAGTATTTTTTTAAATAAATAAAAAATATAGAAAATATAATTCTACTTTGCCAAATGATATAAGGACTCCAAAAAAGACTTAAGTCCAGCCTCTGGAAGGACATTTAGCTAATCGTAATTTAATATTAAAGGAGAGCAACCGGGTTGGAAAATCTAATCTAAGGTAAGTGTGGAATGCCACTCCAGGCCACCCCTACACAAGCCCCTGCTCTGAGCGTTCAAACTGCATGCCTTATATGAATATACTGCAAATGCCACATTTACATGTGAAGTGTTCACTGTTTATCATGAGTACCGTTTTGACAACAGAAGGTGCTTGACTTTTTTTTTTTTAAATCACAAACTGTCACAAACTCACATTTAGCTGCCTGCTGGAATTTCTTTTCTAAAACAAGAAAAGAGAAGGCAATGTTATATTTTCATCTTTTGTCTCGTTCAAAGACCCTTACCCTGAAAAAAAAACAAAAAAAAAAACAGCTTATCACAAAGATCACGTTTGTTTAGGATACAACATTGAGATGTGATATTCACATAGAAACTAAACAAACAATTGGCAGCAACAGATTTCTGGAAGAATCAGGGTGATGTACCATTGTTACTTTAATCCGGGCTGGACCACAACATAAAGGAGAGACGTCTTACCTGCCACACAGGTAACTTTTATGAAAATGAGACTGTTTGATAGTGACACGCTGTCACAGTTTCAGTCTGTGTGCATTTCTTTTAGCCACAAATGTCCCAAGAAATGCAGTAATCCCTCTGTCAGCAGCTCGTATGATGCAGTTAATATACAAACACTGTCTGCTCTATAGTTAAGAGTTCTGGTGAGTTAGTTAAGGGAAGTTTGAGAGTTTAACAGGAGACTCCACTTCCAACTTTAACAGCTGATACTGCGAAGGGTCATGTGATCCAACATGGCCTCCTCAAACACTTTCTGTCCTTGTCCATATGTGGATACTTCCAATGTTCTGGGTTGTGGTTGCTGTTTCTCAAAAACACCAAACATAAAGATTTTCTCAACATAAAAACACATTTGAATCTACACTACAACACTAACAATAACATTATAATAACAACAATATTTGCACAGATTTACCTATTCACAAAAAAACATGTTTTCTAGATAGGTACAAAGAATTACTTTTTACAGCCTACAATAAATATCGTGTATTTTCATGTTTGATGCTGTTGCTTTTGGTTGCAGTCATCCTTTATGATAATTTCATTTTTCTATCTGGAGTCTTTCCCTAAATGGAGGGTTGCAGTGTTCGGGAGGAGGTGTGAAAAGGTAGACAGGTGGTTTTTGAATATGATAAGGTGTAAATACAGCTCCTCATGTCTCAGCTGGAGTCGTCTGCTCGTCATGATGCCGACGGTTGCGAGGTTTCTTCTGCTCTTTCAGCTCCTTCAGGCTTTTGGCTTTGTTGTCCCCAAGGCTGCCCTCGCCGAGCTGCCAGTAGTCCTGGCAGTACTGGTTGATCAGACCCATCTCTGGCTGGCTCAGGATGGTCAGCAGGTCTTTGTACTGACCCACACTAGGTGTCCAGGCACTGGACTGCAGCGGTGGGAGGGCCGGGCTGCCCGTTTCCACCAACACATTGTTGACTGTGCGGCTGGAGAGGACCACGAGTTGCAGTTTGACGAGAGTGTGTTTGAAGTTTTTCTCTGTGGATGTACACTGGTAGATCCCGCTGTCAGATGACTGCAGGGAACGGATCAGAAGACCCTGTTCTGTTTTCAGCGTGCGGCCCTCTGAGCGGATCTGGAAGGAAAGATGCAGGGAAATGTAAACACTCCATTCATGAATTTGTCTTATCCTTGCTCTTATAGATTATGACCAGACCCCTATCATGGGGAAACTATCAAGACAGCTTCAATGTCTGGGGAAAGCAATCATTCAGATTCTTTTTAGCTCACCTCTTTCCTCCTGTCGCTGTTTTCCTTCTGCAAGTGCCACTTTAGAGACACATGAGGAGATCTGGCCTGACACTCCAGGAATGTAGTGCTGCCCTCCACCCCGTACTGAACTGATTCCACAGTATTCTTATTGGCTAAAAAACAATATATAAATTATGTCATGGTGAGAAATGGATTAAATGGAAAGATAGACAGTGGAAGTACATTGGTATGTGACTTGAATCACTGTTGTGTTGGATTAATACAAAGGGAGCCTGATACTCACTGTTGGAGTTATAACCTCTGCACTGGCGGATCGGGTTGCCGTACTTCACATCCTGCCGACGGCTCCGTCTAGAGGGGTCAGATCAACAATCAAAAATAAAAAGCTTAACTTCACATATTTGAAGATATTACATGTTTGAATATAGTACAGGATATGTAACCATGTATGCTTGTGTCTACTATCGTACTCCTCACCTCTTCTGAGAGTTGGAGTATCTTGAGCAGGATTTGCCGTCCCAGGCGCAGTACGGGTCTCTGGCCAGACAGCAGTCAGCACACGCCTCCCCATACACGTCACAGCGATGCAGAGCCAGGTGGGTCACCCCCAACACTGAGCCCACATACAGTTGTTGCTATTAAAAAAAAGACAAAATCAGAAATTAAAATACTCCAATATTAACATTTAATGTGTCACAATATTGTAAAAGTCTACAAATACCAAATGATTTCCTGGAAAGACTAAAAGAAGGAAAAATCAAGAAGTTTGAAGTTTCTCCTAAAGTGTTCTTCCTAACAATTTACTTATTCACTAAATTGACTAATTTACTTGATATAACTTCTCAGTTTAAAGCCAAGTTTTGCTTGAAAGTAATTGCAATGACTAACCATTAATATATCAATCATGTATTCACTGTACATGTTGCATTTATTAAATACCAAAGTACACACTTCCCAATTGATTACAGCAACAATTTGTTTCCTCTGTAAAACAAATAAATAGTGGAAAACAACGGGAACTTTCAAATCTAATATTCTAATATTCTTGTCCTTGTCTTACAGGATTTTTAACACAAACACGTGTTTTTTTTTGTCTAAACACTCTGCTTTGATTTCATTATTTGTGAAGACTATCTGTTTGAGACACTTACTCGTTTGGATGAAATCTTCATGGTGGTGATTGATGTTGGAACCTGCCAAAATACATAGAAAAAAAAGCTTGTAAATTCTTGTTTCAATAATCAACAAAAAATACAGAAAGTAGAGAAAAAGTTGGAGAGAGAAGAAGTGATGACCGACCTTAAAGACTTCGACTTCCTCTAAGACCAGCTCCTCTGTTATCAGGTCATCTCTGGGCAGGACGATCACTTTCTGGACTGACCCCCGATCTTAAAACACAAACGAAAAATAAGTTCATCCTTCAACTCAGACTGCACTCACTTCATACATCAACTAAATATCTCTTTTATTTTAAACAGATAATTACTTTAAGATTTCTTAGCAGATTCTCTGAGTCAGCTTGAAGGCCAGAGGACTAAAACTTAAAATAAAAAATATAAAAACAACCTCAGAGTGCACTTTAAAAACATGACGAGATTAGCGGAAAGTCACTGACCTGTTCCCAGGAAGAGCACCTCGTAGTTTCCATCTGCAGCTGCCACCTGATCTACAGCTATGGTGGTGAACTCATAATCCACGTTGGTTCTGACCACCAGGGGGCGCTTGTGTACTGGGTATATAGCATTGTACATGGTGGGGTGGTTTCTCATGAAGTTGATCACCTCATCTGGGTAATCCTTTGTGGATTTCATGTTGGGGGTGAAAGTGCCTCCAGGACACTATAGACAAATAAAGAAAAATATCCAGAAATCAAACCTGCAATTACACTTTAAAAATATTCTTGTAAAAAGGATGACTGGGATGTATTCATGATTTTTATTGTGTATAACTCACAGTGCCAGGTCGTGGGTAAGGGATCTTCCCAGTGTAAGCCACCCACTGGTAGTTGGGCCCCTCCTTGTGTGCAAAGGGGCCATTGAAGACCATGCGGATGTCGGCCATGGAGTAAACGCACACAGCCGAGCCTTTAAACACGGCTCTGGAGGAGGGCGGGAGAGAGCAGGGATGAACACACAAGAGACAGCGGCTCAACTCGCTCCCTGAGAAAATTACTACGGTTTGCTTTGAGCGTCTCTGCGGCGGAAAGAATCTACTTCCTTCCCATGTACTCATCTGGCCTCTTACAGTAAAGCTCTGAAGCTTTATGACGCACAAACACACTCACAAACCGAGTCAAGCTGTCTGACACACTGACATACAAACACCCACATTCTGCAGAGAATCGCCAGAGCTCCAGTGGTGGGTGTACTATGTTTGTAACTCCTGTCACAGGCCTCTATAATCAGAACGGCCTGTGTTTTTATCAGCTGGGTTTAAATGTGAGAGGATGGAAACAATAACAGTGTTTGTTTTCTCAAATACATTAATCAAGATATGTTTATTATGACTACCTGCGAAGCTCTCCTTGCTTTGTGTGCAGTCAGAGTCTCAATTTTCACGTCTGCCTGAATTTTAATGCTGTGTGTTGAATGACAACTTGCTATCAAACCTGACCTACGAGGAGCTATAGGCTCAGTCAGCCTCTCAGAGGAGCAAGACTCCCTCTGGGCTCCACATTCACTGCCTTGTTTTCTCTTTGTAGCCTGGATCTGACTAGCTGTACGCAACACAGCATTTCAATATCAGAGAGAGCTGACACCTCCAGGCTGAGTGGAAATGAAATAAAAGCAGCAGGCGGAACCCAAAATACACCTTCCCTCCAAACTGACATGAAAGTCAAGAGAGTTTGAGAAGCTGTCAATCACTCACCCGGAAACTGAGAAGACTCCATAGATGACAGGATTCTTGGTGTCTTGAGTTGGCTGAATATAAACATCCCCTAATAGATAAAAGACAAGAAGTTATGACAATATGTCAGTCATAAAGTACAAGACGCAGTGGTGAAATAAGTACTCTGATTCTTCAGTAAAGGTGCATTAAAAATAATACTGTTGTTGAAGCAAGAGCAGTTTGAGAAATGCCACAGCAGAAAATGGCTCCTTTTTACTCAGCATAAGCAATCTTCCAATGTCAGATATGATGTCTAAAGTTCAGTACACATGCTGATTTTAAATGTTGCTGCTCTTTGAAGTTAAAGTGAGTTATAACAACTTAATACAGGTTTTTTTTAGTCCAGTGGTACCCCAGCATAGGCAAAGGTAATTTACAAAGATTTAAAGGTTTGCGAGATGAATTATGGGCAGAATTTATTTTTAAATTTTGCACTGCAACAAAAATGTGTTCATATTGTAGGTGTTTTTATAATCCTTGCTTCTTTTTTTTTTTTTTTACCTCTTAGCAGCTAGGAGATCTGAGAAGTTTAGAGGCGAAATCAGTCTTTTATAGACTCTTAAACATGAGACAAGGAGCCACATAATGTGTGGAGTCAATGCTTTAGTCTTTGACGAAATATTGAATTCAACATGCTTCACACGCTTTTGTATGTAAAATCTCAATTAGCAAAGTAGCTCCAAATCACAGCCGTCAAATAACAGGAAAGAGAGCACATATGGTGTGACTACTTTGATAAATCTAGAGTAATGGGAGTATAAAGTTCTTTAAACTACTTAAGAATTTAGTTATTTCTGTAAGATACATTCTGCCAATAATGAAAAGAGGCAGTTTTTTTTAATGTATTTACAAGACTGAATTAGCTCCCAGGTTCTACCTGGTTCCCACCAAAAATTGTGCTAATTGTGACACATACTGCTTCCTGGGACGGGGGGTAAAGCGAGGGTTCCTCATAAATCGTGGTTATCAGAGCCTCAATGAGATCTGAATCCAAACCCTTTCAATGCAGAGACTCCAGTTCCTGAGTCTCAGCAGGGAATATGAGTGAAATAGAGATCTCTGCTGAAACATGACTTTAATAGGAGCCATATGCACCCTGATGACTGTGGGGTTGAGGCAGTTGTGAACCCAGTGTATCTTCTTTGATGGCTAAATGAGAGGAAAGTGCAAGAGAAAACACCACGCAAGAAAACTGAGACAAATATAAATTAGAGAAGTTGAGAAGAATAACACTTCAGCCACACAGGTCGATGTCATGCTTTGCACCGATGTTAAACAAAACAATTTGTAAAGGCTCATATTGCATGTTTAAAAGTTCCTTGAAAAAACCAGGACAAGGATTAGCTGTCGTAGAAGTCTTTACAAACAGTTATAACGATAAAGAGGTGTAAACTCCTGTCCGTTTTAAACGGAGATCTTGTCCGTGGTCATTCAAGGAAACAGAAGTTAGACATCTATCTGTCTGACACTCCCAAAAAAAGAGTGCTCAAATGTATCTCTTAAATATCACCTGAGATAACGTCAGTGGCAGCATGTTAATGGTAAGCCACAATTATACATGTGGAATTGAGGGTAGAAAGTACCCGTGCCCTTTGGCGTTATCCATAATAAACAAAAGGGAGGGGAGCTTAAATTCACATAGCTTGTATGCAAACATAATTTCTGACTCTGCAAAGCTGCAAAATCGACCAACTCTTCTTTGATCATGGCTTCCAAATCATTTCAAGACAAGAAAAAAAACTCCTTACGCGCCAAGGTATGAAAATGACAGGTAATGGCTGCACACTAAAGCAAGAATTAACTTTTGGCAAACAAAGGAGAAACTCATAACCCATCTGACGCCAGTTTGACAGGCCTGCTGGCTACAGAGCGAGCGCAGTGAAAGAGAAGAGAAATAAATCACAAGAGAGCTGGAATGAGTTGCGTCACTGAAACTTTTGTTTCTGATGTGACAGATCGAGAGACAGTTGAGGCCCTCGCAGCATCACATTAGCAAGCAAACATCTCTGATTGCTGTGAGCGTAGAAAGAAGACAGAGAGGGGATAAATAAGGTTTTAAAAGCTAAAGCAAGAAACAAAGAAGTGGTGCATTCAATAAATGAATCACTGTGTGAAAAGACTGTTATAGTTCTGCAGAGATCGCTCGTTTCTTGATAACTACTTTAAAGGATGTGCAACCGAAAATTGCTAGGGGAAAATTAAAAAACAAACAAAAGCTACAACAAAAAGGATCTTTGTGTCCATGTATAGTAAAGCTGTTTGGGGATTTGTGGACTATAAGGACATGAAAAAATAACTCAATGAAAAAACAATGTTTCACTCCATAATTACATTTCAGAAAAGGCAATAAAACTTTATCGCCCACACATCCATTCTCGTTTTTATCCTGCAGACATTTTCATCTCTCTTGTGCCAGCATCTGACTTTATAATCCTCCTCTCTCTTTGTATCATTACAACACTAAAGGCTTTTTTCTCCTGTTAAACGCTGACTGCCTCACAATCTCAATGTACTCCACTCTCTCTCCCGAGTCCTCATCCAACCACTCTGAAGCCTCTGCCGGCCTCCATCAGGGACCAGCAGGACTGGAGACAGAACAAATTTCCATCAGAGCGTCTGTGGTTGTGGGCAGGACGACCCGCAGAGCTGTGGGATGTTTCTATGAACCTCAGGACTTCAAATGACTTCACCACGAGTGTTCGTCTGCCCCCAGACTACAACTGACCTGCTGCATAGTGCATGCACTGCTAAAAGTACAGCAGTGCTGACAGAGGAGCGCTCTCCTGTCACTGACTGAGTGCTCCTAATGCACAACACACATTTGCATCTTGTAAAGCCTCATCACAGCAGAAGTAAGACACATTACTCTACATATCACTCATAGCTGTGGTTGGTGCACAGCTACAGAGTAAATTATTTAATATTCTTACTATATAAAGGTATAAAGTGCAATCAATTCCATACATGTAGGTTTTAGCTGTCTATGTGGTGTGTTCAGATGACATTTTTAACACAAATAATCAATTTCAGCACATGTGTTGCATGTCAGGTTATACATTTGGGAAAATATTTTGAGAATTATTTCAGTATAATATTGTCCTTTCTCACACTTTCAATAAAATGTATGTTTGCTCTTTTGGCCAACAATTAGAGCTACATTATATCATATACATTGTGGTGTTGTAGTCAAGACTACTTGAAAATACTACGAGGTACATAAAAGTAAATTTAAATCAAACACAGGTAACATTGATCACATTGTTGTAATATAAAATTAATGTATTTATTACGTTTTATTATGTTATTAATGAATTCTGCTGCATTGAGTTTCCCAAAAGGTGCCATGTACAATTAGCCAAAGACAGTAGCCTTTATTAAATAAACTATTTTATTTTATTTCTGTAAAATACTGGCGCACAGGTTTAACCAGGACGTTCCTCATACAGAGGCTGCAGCCCTCGAATCAGCGGAACGCGGTTTGACTCTTACCCGTGGCCATTTACTTTATGCCATTCCCCAACTGTCTTACTCACTGCCCTGAGCTCTTAATACAGGCATGAAAAGCCCAAAATATACAAAAAAATACTGCCTTAAAAAGACTTAAAAATTGATTGAGGAAAAAAAACATTTCAGTTTATCTTCTCCAGAGTCCAGAAAAAATAAGTTGGATTAGACTTTAAGGTTTCTGTTGAAATTACAATCATTTGTTATGTCTATCTAATAATTGATTTTCTATACTAAATGAGTTTTAATACCCAGTGAGTGATTTTTCCCCTCCTAAAATCAGGCACAAAACAGTGGAGGAGAGACAAAGATTTGCTGCTCATACCAGCAGTCATTAGAATTTCAAGGATACTACAAATCCCTCCTTAATCCTGTCAGTCATGGGAATGACGGACAGGCAGGGATGATCCGCAGGGGGCTGGACTGATCCCAGCTGCTCATTACTTTGATTACTCTGTCTTCGTGTGTGTATTTGCTTTTACATCTCTGGTAGGATTTCTCTGCAAAAAAAAACATGTTGATGGTCCTTAAAAGCAAAACGTTTGCAGTCTTACAGTCAGGATGCTACCTTTACAGATGTTTTCAGCACCTACAGGAGCCATGTTGATGTTCAAAGGAAGACACATGTCAGGCTTAACATGTATGAGTCAGTGATACCTTAATCTAAAGCTGCAGCTCGCTGGGATTCTCCACAGTACCGCTGTACATAAGAAGACACATGCTGCTGTAAATGCTGCATATGTGCCCCCATGTACAGTGAGAGATTTGCAGCAAAATCTGAGATTTTCACGCTGAAAACCTTAAACCTGTGACATCATGATGAAAGTATGCAAAGCCAATGGAGCGAGAAAATGTGAAGGGAGCTCTACAAATGAGAAAGTCACTGGCACTGAATCTGTCAACAAGCTCACCATCTGCAGACCCTTGTGTTGAATCTTAGTTAAATGCTTCTGTAAGAGTTCTCACTTTCCAGCTGCCACTCTTTGTGTTAGGTCACGGCCATATTCATTACATACTTCAGACCAACTTCAAGCAGATGTGTTAAATGTTCCCAGAGTTGGAATATTTTATCTTTAAGAAAGACAACAAATGATTTAAGATACTTGGCTTTGATGTTTACATTGATTACAAAAACTGCCCTGAGGCTTATTAACAGGTGGTGGATGAACGACCCACCTGGGCGATATCTAGAGATTAAAGAAAGCTACACAGATGTCCTGGAAGGGTCAAAGATTTACAGGGAGAAACAATATTTCAAACTCACTCAGTTCATCAAAGTGTGTCTCAATGCCGTCAGCTCCTGGCACTGAGCAGATGAGTCGAGCTTTAAGAAACGTGCTCCACTTGTTGACCAGACAGCAGTGTCCACCGTCATCGTTCTGTGGGGATATAGACAGTTGTCATATTTTCAGCGTCTGCTGACCAACGTCTGACTTACAGCTGTCTGAAACAACTGTCCAAAACTAAGTGCACCAGCTCTGTTTTTACTGTGCCTGTGTGAATAAAGATCAGCGCTATGTTTCAGCTTGGCCCATCTGCACAGGAGGAGGTCAGCCAACGACTATTGCTGAGGTAAAGACTCAGGCTGTGGGAAAATGATTCATGGGCTGGAACTTAGCACAATGTACAGAGTCCAAATTTGCAGAGCTGGAAAACATTTGGTGTCTATCTTTACCTACTGTAACATCAAGTAGTTAGAAAGTCTGTTTTTTTATAGTCCTAAGTAAAAGAGAGATATGTATTAATGTCTTCCAGGAACAAATGCAATTATTTACATTGTTCTTATTGGCTATGATAGCTGAATGACCTTAAGTTGAAACACTGTCTCTTATTAACTCTAAAAATAACTGAGCTGCTTTCCAAATTATGTCGTGTTTACTTTGTAATCGCCCCCTGGATGTGTTGAGGGACATTTTCCTGAGGTCCATGTGCAGATGGTTTGAAAGCCTCAGACAGAGTTTCATTATTTATGCGTCTTTGGTCAAGAACAACACTCCAGGGCACAAAACTACCCCCCTGAGTACACAGTGATCTGTCTTTGTATGGCTGTCTTTGCATGTTTACAGACATTTTGACCAAAGTAAACTCTGACGCTCAAACATTTCATTCAGAGGAGCAGAAATCACAGAATGCAAACAAAAGATTTTGTAACTGGTAATTGTTGAGTGTTACTGTTTACAATCAGAGATTACTGATGATAACTGGAAACTTCTCTCTGTCCCTCTAAAAGACTAAGACAAAGGTATGAGGCTATAAACTAACCACTATGGAGACACATAAACCTTTCAGCTGTGATGATCAACATGAGGTTTGCTGACTGGTGTGATAACTCACCAGGCAGATCCGCCCAATCCTGGACTGGGTCATGGGACTCTGGCCCATCTCAGAGGCTTTCTCCCGGAAGAAGAAGTAGAGCTTGTCATCATTCTTCTCAGCGCTGTCTGGAATGAGGTGTGCATGGACAAATGTGGGATCTGTACAAAAGGAAAACAAGACAGAAAGAGACATTAGCAGCCTTGTAGGTCATATTGCCCACAGCTAAATTTCAAAATTTCCAGACTTCAGTGTCTTAAAAGGGAAGTAAGTGCGGTTTAAGAAGGGCGCATGAGAAATGACCCCAAAAAAAGGAATTCAGACAATGGCGGCAATTTTTTTTTTCTCTAAACAAACTGTGTAAATAATTTAATTTATAAAAACCATTTCAGCCAAATCTAGTTCCACTCGGTGCCCTCTACAGACCTGGAGTACTTCTCTTGTAATGACTGAATATACAATGTTTTTCTCTCATTGGATTCTGGGTTTTGTGTTTTTGAATAACACCATTCATGTATTCAAAGTGAGTTTGCTGTTAAGGCATTTGTCATATCTTTTTTGAGTTTGTATTTATTTTGAATTTCCATCCAATTTCTCTGAGTGAGCAGTTTTTTTTTGCTACTCATGTGCCCTTGTTGGCCAACGAAGTCAAATCTCTAGTAATTCACAAGTGAAGTCCACTACTTGCATTATATGGGCTTTCTGTGGACCACCACAGAGTCTGCACAGGATGCTGGTTTTGCTGGCCATTGAATTATTACCCAGAATTTAAAGTTGACTCTGACAGTGCTAAAGCAAAGAGAAATATTATCAGGTGAGTATTACACATGGATTTATCTATAGACATTATCCAAAAGAAACTGGGTGAACTCTATTGAGAATGATTACTGTTGTAACAATGAATAACGTGCAATAGTAGCCTGGAGCCAAAAACAGCACTTTAACCCAAATCATAAACCCACCCCTTTATTTCTTCCTAGTGACAACGCTCAAAATGGCATCACAGTGCGCTCCCACTGGCTGACTTAGTGGGTCACCACTGGACATGAAACACAGGGGGCCCCTCCCCACTGCAACCAACCAGGGTCCCAATTGAGGACAAATCAAAACTAGGAGAGAGAGGGGGGAGGGGAACTATCCGAGGGGATTCCTCTTGTCTGATTAGCGGGACTCAGGTGTCCCGATTCAGCGTACCACTGCCAGGGGACTGTTGTCAGGGCAACAGGGTCAGAGGAAAATCTGGGGAAGACCGTGATTGGTTTGGCAACATCAACCCAAAGCCCCCGACCAGCATTTATAAACGCTGGGACAATCATGGATCATTAGAGAGCAGAGACACTCTGAGTAATTATTGACATTCAACATTTTCCCTCTGCTACTTCACTGCCGACCTCGCCCACAGGCTCCACAGGCATGCAATCAACAATCAGCTTAGTGCATTTCATGCTTTAGTGGAATGGTCATGTGGTCATGTGGAGCAGGCCGTAAAGATCAACTATCTCATTCCTAGAAGACACGCTGAAGGGATTGTGGATATGCAGGGTGGTGCCGAAGAAACAAATGGAATGTTAGGTGAAACAGTACAGTTATACATTTCATGAGCTCAGCAACAACAACAACAAAAAAAGGGTCTGGAAAGAGATCAGTCAAAGGATGAATGCTGGCTGCAGAAGAAGCCGTGAGCTGAGACGTTACCGTTTAACCATCTGGAGTTGTACTGATCTGTCCTCATGGCTGTCTGCTTCCCCAGCGTACGGAAGATAGCGGAGTCTGTTCCCATGAAATCGATGTAGACCCCCGCATACAGCTCGCCATCTGTCAGTCACACAGAGAGAAAGAAAGAAGGGAGGTTGTTACAGAGGTGATGTCATGACGGATGATACATTTTCCAGGTTAAGGTGAAGAGCACGTTGTCTACCACAATCTAATTGAAATCTAATCTAATCATCCCCTCTAGGTTTCATTTAAATCACACTGTTCATACAACATCTGCAGGATTTAAACTAATCAGTTTCTACACCGACTGATTTTTTTGTATTTTAACAAAACAACAGCACAGTGCCAGAATAAATTACACTACTAAATATCGAATTAAATGATCCCACATCCAATGTCATTTACCGTGTGAAAAGTCATGCTTAAGTTACAAATGTTGATCTTACAATTATGTTGCAATCATAATTTAATCACACTCATTAAACCAATTATTGTAATTGTAAAGGACAGCAGGGTTTACGAAACATACTGACAGCTGCATTTGAGGTCAATCATAGTTTAAAATTGAATCCCAAAAGAATCACTCCCAACAGAGTATAATAGGACACTATTGTAAAGGTGTCATAACTTCAAATTTGGACAAAATTAAATTGTGTTAAGAGTTTATTTGTAAATGAAAAAAAGAGGAGTCTCCACTTTATGGAGGCAGAGGGGGACTCTGCTTTCAACTATTATTTTGATGTCCTGATTGCAAGATTAACGAGATGTTTAACGAGATAACAAAGGGTTTATTAATATGTTAAAGGGTTAGTTTGTTTCATTATCTTGACAAAACAAAAGGCAGATTACTTCAGATAATGAGTTCATGTATTGCAAAATCCCAATTTCCCCAAGATCAACAATCATGAAGTCCAAAAGGGCTGTCAGGGTCGTTTGTCATTAGTCATTTTTGACTCTTTTAAGTGGCATTTTTAGCTGAAATCTGCTGCCACAGTTACAGAACTATCTGTGCATCCTGGTAGGACAATTTTTTATATTGTTAGACATTATAGAGGATGCCCCATATTAGGAGGCTTCAGTCCTTGTTGCACTGGTCCCAGGTTTGACTCCATGCTGTTTGGTATATGTCACCCCCAACGCTCTCTCACTACATTTCATGTCTCTTCATAGGTTTCTTATTTTTTGTGTGGAATCTCTTGTTATCTTTTTAGAAAAGTTTCTAGAATTAGAAAAGTCTTTGCAAGCATGGACATTTTTGGCCTCTTTACAAAAGTCTCACCACTGCAGTGATATTTTCAAAAGAACAAGAAGATAAGCCGAGAAAATAAGTTGGTGTTTAAAAGCTCCTGTCACCAAAACCAGGGGAAGTACAGCTTTCCCTGCCATCCAGTGTGGTTTGTCTCTGCCATTCTAGTTATTTAACACAACCTCAAGCTCATTTTCTTGGGTTTCTTCATCTGGAAATGAGCTGACATTTAGCAAAAGATCGTGTCTCTCCAGCCACCGCTCTCTGTTTCTCTTTAATGCACACACAGAAATGTAGGGCAGGAGGTCACTGATCCACAACCATGTCTGACCACCTGTAAGCTGCTGACAACTGAAGACCACCCACTGCATGAGAGTACACACATGTGACTGAAAACACAAGTGACGGGGCTGAAAAAACTATTACTGTACAAGAGTTGAAAACCTTAGCAGGAAAGGATAATAACCTCTTACTGTAACTTTTGTAAATATGAAAATCGTTCTACCTAACATAATTGTAAAGACAGTGTCTTCGTGTTATTGGCTGCTGCTCCTAAGAAAAACAACAACTTTCACAGCGAGAGCTTAGAAATCTGTTACTGGGTGTTTTCACACTTAATTTTCACGAAGTGAAACCCCCAATGAACCCATCCCAGAGCATCCTAGAGATGTATCTTGCAACCTACTGTGACTTGCACAATTAATATGGTTGCTTTCAATTCTTTTGAGGAATTCAAAAAAACAATCAAATTAAAACCAAAGGTGTATTTCAGATTGAATCTGCCTTTTTAAGTTGTATGAAGGAATAGAAAAACAAGGACTTACTGATCAAAGCAGACACGCTGTTAAGTTTGGGGTCAAAAGGACACTTTCCTTTCCCAGAATCCACTTTTCCAGGTTCAAGTCGGAAAATGTATTCCTAAAATGATAAATAATTCAGAAAAACACGTTTAGTTATTTTCATATTTTCCTTTCCCATTCGATTACAGATTTATTGTACTTGAGGAATTATTTTTGTGTGTTGGGGTAGGACTTTATTTTAAGGCACCATGTGCTGTAAAGGGCACTTTGAGTATAGTTACATGTTAAAAGCAGTAACATCAAACTAATAATGTGATCAGTGAGGAGACACAGTAACAATGACAAGCTGTGACCCTAAAACACTCTCTCTCTCTCTCTCTCCCTCACAGCACTGTTGGATCTGCTGAGGGGAACAAAAAGCACACAAAGCCAGTTATCTGTGAGAGGAATATGCTGAGAGCAATCCAAAAAAACTCATCCAGCGTGCTTCTGATGTTAGTGGCTCAAACAAGAATTCATTATTCCACAGTGCAAGAGGACATCTTGAACATCTGTGTCAACACTCAGTATGTGTCTACATGGAGTTTTGTCAGGCACATCAAAGCCTGACAGGTAGAAATACGTGAGGGAAAGCAGAAACATTTCAAAGCTGCTTTTTTTACCTTTTCTTGGACATTTTTCCAGGAAGAAGATACAGTATATTCCAATGTGTGGCAATAAAAAGACTTTGAAAATACTGTCACATCAAATTGCAGGGGATAGCTTTTTATGATGTGGTCTTGCATCGTCAAGTTGCATGGCAGGATACAGTGAAAGATGTAATTCTTTTAGAGATAAAAAAATTAAAATAACTTATTATTGCATATAAGTATGTGTCATGTTTTGTGAACTAAGCTCCGCCCACTTCAAACCAGTGCTATAAAGCAAAACAAAAACATAAGGCTATGTCCCATTTCAGACCTGCATCCTTCAGAGGGCACATTTGAAGAATAATAATGTCACAACGACGTGTCTAAGGCTGTACCATTTGGAAAAATGTCTTCAAATTTAGCCAACCACTTCTTTCCCTGGCCGACCAAGGATCCTTCCTGTTCATATTTTGTAGCTTAACATTTCCCAAAACTCCTTGCGCGCCAATCCAATCAATTCAAATGTAAGTAATTGTTTTCAACTCGATCGAATAGCTACCAATACTTGTGTAAAAAAACTAAACATAAGGGGCCTGTTATCTTCAAATGATATTTAAAATAGGTTAAGTTAGCAGAGCAGCTGCTGAGACTGCCAAGAGACGATTACGGCACTTAGAAACAAAAGGGGAAAGGTGGGAAAGGTGATGAAGCAAACGGGGAATCCTCTGTACACTAGACCGTCTCATTTCAGTTTGTTCTGAGTGGTCTACAGACTAAAAGGGCTGGGTCCTTCATAGGCTGAGTCCCTTGAAAGATGCTACCCTCTAAATGAGACACAGCTACAGGCACAATTAGGAGGAAAAAAAGCATCAAATGGATGTTTTCCGGACCTTATAAGAATAAGACATGAACAAAGCATTTTCTTGTGTTGAGCGCTATTAGAGGGGAGCAAGTTTTCTGCCACCCCCAAAAAGAAAAACATTCACAGCTTTCACGTTGATAGCGGATGTTTCCTAGCTTGAAGGTCCATGGACACCATTTTTATATACCTGAGCCATTTCTACTTTTAAGGCATAGAGTGAAAAAAATACTCCAGGTGGGCACAAAAATTTAAGCTTTTACAAAACTCCCTTCACCCCACCTTCGCCTCCAAAGGCTCTGATGTAGTGCTGTAGTCTGCTGCCCGACTCGTTCTCCCTCCAGATTGGGGTGCCTGTAGGTAGTGGGACCCCTAAAACAGAAACATGGCACAGTGGTCCATCTCATTACCACATTCGTCAGATGATAAAAAAAAGTTGATTTTAACTTTAAGGGAAAAAACAGAAAAGTGTGAAACAAGAAGCCCAGAAAAAACAAAAAACAAGAAGACTCCACAAAGATGAACAAATCTAAAAAAGGAAAGACAAAGAAAATGTCAATGTAAAGGTGAGTAGAGTATAAAGAGTTCAGTGGGTGCCATTCATCATTTAGTAATTAATGCTGGATTAGACTCAGTGTTATGCAAACATAGCAGGAAACTCCATGCATAAACCATGCAGTGCTAAAAAAGAAAACAGTGAAGGAAATGCATCAATATGAAACAAGCAACAACTGAAATAATGCTGTATATCCAGAAGTGTCGGATGCAGTGTATGCAACAATGAAACAATGAAACAATGAAGTGTTTCATTGAGATCTGGACAGGTTAAAACCAAAACTGTAAAAAAAAAGAAATAATAAAGCTCTGAAACAGCATCAAGAAAGAAGGAAAGGGAAAAGCAGAGATATGACTTAGGCCTAGAAACAAGTAAAGCTCTCTGTCTATGTACTATATGGAAGAATTTCTCAACGATGTGTTTCTGTTTACATCCACTGTCGCTGAAGAAAATCTTTACAGTGTGAAGTCACATAACATTTGGGTCTTCGGGGAGAAGCTGAATGACAACAGGCTGAGTGACCTTTGCATTGAAATGTGAACCCTGCACTCGAACAGTGAGACTAAACAGGCAGAGTGGCGAATGAAATTGTGTGTGGACTGTACTCAGGCCGACAGCTGCAGCAGCTCTGCGAGGCTATCAAGGAGCAAGGGAGCAAGGGAGGGAGGGAAGGATGGGACGGAGGGAGGGCAGAGCTACAAGGCTGATGATGGATGAGAGGCTCAATCGGTAATGATGGCCTTTCAGAGGCTCTCAGCCAGAGAGAAAGACAGGCCACAGGCTCTGCAGTGTAGAAACAGGTGGTGGGGGGGGAGTTAAAATACAAGGTATTTGCTGGAGATATAATGTCAGCATGATTTTCTCTCTGATAACAGAGAAGATTGGTGTCTGAACAATCTCTAAGCGGTAGCAGTAGGTACCTCAACAGCAATTTTGTAATAATAACAGAGATGTAAAGACAATCTGCATTTGAGTTTTTTTCCTTTGAAATCTCCTTGACTGTATACCAACGCAAATCGATGAAATATAACAAGCAGAAAATGATGGTAGAGAAGAAGACACCATGAAACCAAGAAGGGAAAGCAGAAGGACATTCTCTGGCCCAAGATTTATAGACAGATCGTTTTTAAAAAGTAGCGCAGAGAAAAAAGGTCAAAATGTCTCCATGGCTGGCCGGTGTTGTCTTTGGTTACCTGTGACCTTCGTCCTCGGTCCACATAGGTGCAGATGGGGTTGTAAGCACCAGTTCCACAAACGTACAGGTGGGTGCGGTTCCATGGCTCGATCAGGCGGATGAAGTTTCCACACTCCCCCTGACAGAGAGAAACAAAAAGGCATTTGTTGATAATCTTTGAAATGAACATTGATCTTAAGAGGCGATTTAGAATCGTTCTGCTCTCCCTTATTTTAGGCATTCAAAAAATACACAGCTTCTCACCTCGATGGACTAAGATTGTAAATTTTCCATCATGAAAAACATTTCTTTGGAAGTTTTCAATCAATAGCTGTGGACTAAAATTGTAAATTTCATGATTTCAGCTTTTTTTTGACTATGAACAAAAAAAAGACCTTCAAATTCCCTTCTGAATGAAAAAATGTAATATGTACAATAAAGACCTCCATCTATGAGACCCCCCTAAAAAGTGGTTATATTAACAGATATTGCCCCACTGACGGTCAATAACCCCTTTGCCTGGCTTTAAAACCCTCACATCTATCATCTCCACTGCTGGCTGCCTTGTTTTTGGCAGTTTTGCTCTCTGGCTCTGTGAGACGGCCTGGCTCAGGCTTGACATCAGACCACACTGTCAGAGGCAGAGATGTTTCCAAACACTGTATAACTGTGTGGCAGAGACCAAGAAAAGCATTTCTCCTGAGTGGTGCGCTGTGTTTTCATTCTGAAGGGATTGAGGGTAAAAGCAATTTAATGTTCTGTCAGATTTGACGACTGCAAAGCATTTAGGTAAGACCAAACAGCTGAGTGAAAATGTGCTTGTTTTTTTTTTTTAGAAACTGGAGATTTCAAAATCCAATCAGGGGGTTTTAAGAGCGAGACATAAAGACATGCTTGCTGTTGCAGGCTTTTTGACATCTCAACAAGAATGCAGGTTTATTTAGAAATGTAAGTTGTAAGAATATTGTGTAAAAGAGTGCTGCTATAAAAAATACTTTATGCTTTCGAGGTCTGCAGCTTTCTAATCCTGATTTTTGCTCCGACACAGCTGCTGTCAATCCGACCAAATCTAAACTCCAGCCACAGAATGTACAGTCTGATGATATCTGTTCAGATTTGTTTGGCTGCTGGTGACAGCTGTCCAAAAAAGAAAGGATGTACCAAGAATAAAAAAAAAGATTATATGCAGGATGAGGGGATGAGATATTCTGGCAGATCTTTGCAACACGGCAGATGCACAAGTCCGAGGTTTGAGAGGACGTGTTTGTGTGTGTGTGTTTACGCTTATTTCTGCGCACAGTCCCCCCCCCCCCCACAGAGAGCACAGTGGGATGATTGCCTTTGACCTCCCGCCTGAGCAGACATCTCCTCTGAATTGCTTTTGAATTGTCTTCATCTGTCATTCCCTAAAGAGTGGCGAGGATCGCAAAGACGTCTCCGAGTAGCCAATTTTATTTGGTGATGAAATTTCAAACCCACCACCTACACACACACACACACATATAGGCTCCATTCATACACACACAAACATACAGAGGCCCAGTCGCTGTAGCCAGAGGCGGTGGGAGCGCAGGTCAGCAAACACGCATAACAGAACATTCCAGTTGGATAAACAGCAGCCAGCGCTCTCTACCAGCAGGGGAGAGCGGGTTATTAGCCTGCCTATCACTCTTGTTGCTCACTGCTCCTACCAGCCTTCACCCCTTACATAGGGAAGAGGAGTGTGTGTGTGTGTGTGTCTGTGTGTGTTTCAAGGGATCAGCATATGTGAACAAAATCAAAAGAGAAGGTTTTTGTATGAATATCAATGATGAGTTTCCTCGTGGGCGGGTGGTGGCGGTGTTTGAATGTCTGAATCGATTAACACTTCAGACGCGCCTGTAGCTTTGGTGGCTAATTCATCTTCAGTATCAGTGTGCACAACAAAGGGTAAAAATAATTATTGTGCAAAAATAACAAGAAAAAAAAGAAAAAAAAGGAAATATCCATGACATGTCTCAGATTTTGGCATGGAATATGTTTCCAGCTCTAAATGAAGACAACTGAATGTTTGCACGTTTCAACTTCCTGCTGGAGATTAATTGGTGGCAGCTGTACGCGATCAGCAATCAGGGATGCAGCGAGAGTAAATAAGAGCTTCACAGCAAGTCACACATTGGAACGAGCTTTTAAAAAGGCCCTTTGACCAAAGTGCCAGATTTAATTCCTTAATATTGCCAAAAACAAAAGAGCAAAGACAAACCCCAGACTTTTACACAGGAGAATATCCATGGATACAATTTGGTTTAAATTTGCAGCAGATATTTTAGACTGGCTTATTAGTCTTTACATCTTTAAATGTTAGAAAAACATGACATCAACATTTCTACTTTTAAATAACCAACAATTAAACCCCCAAATAGTAAGTTTTCAATAATATGAAACAGAACTAGGCAGTAAATTCTTACTACATAGAAACATGTGCCTGGAAGTACATGACATTTTTGATCAACGGGGATGGTTCTTAACAGTTTTAATTTAATGAATAATTGGTTATCATCTGAAAATTGACAATTCCTGCATTGACACACATACATACTTACATTAGTGTCTTTCCCTGATAACACACATTCAGTCTTCCTCTGAGGGGCCACAGGCCAGTGGATCTGTCAGGGAAAAACATACAAGCTGGTTAGATGTACATTTGCTCCTATCATCCAGGAATATTGTTCATATGGGACACTTCTTACTATGAGTGGCTCCTTGTTGATGTCGTGCAGATCCAGAGAGAGGATGTAGTCCTTGCTGCCCACATACATGCGGTCGTGGTCCTCATCCATGCGAAGGATCCGATAGTCGGTCGAGTTCAGCAAAAAGGAAAAGTGGTGAGCAGTGGCAGTAGACTTCAACTCTATAGAGGCAAAAAAGAGAAATAAATGGTTTTACTCAAGCTTTGCCTATAAAAGTGCATTAGAAAAACACACATTAAAACTTGGGAACTCAAACCACAGACATGGTCACAAGAGATGTGTGTAGGTTTCTTATTTTTGGCACAGGGAAGTCGTTTGGTTTGCCAAAGGTATTTCATTCTTTGTTCTGTAGAGGTGATCTATCATTGTACATAACACATCTCAAATCTCATGGATATACACACAAACAAACACAGCTGAAACAGAACTGACAAAAGTTGCAGTTCCTTGAATGTGTCTTGAGGCTGGCTTAAAACCAGAGTCAATCCCCATACACCCCACATTAAAAAACTAAAAAATGTACATGAGAAAATATAATTTACAGCAAACAGACTAGGTCTCAATAGCTCATCTATTGGATAGGAGACAGTTTTATTGCATATGTGTTTCGAGGAAAGCTGTGAAAATATATTTTATTTACTACCTTATCCAGCAACTACTATGACAACTATAGAGGGGATGGATTCTATCAAGGGCTGTCAATGTTAACTTGTTAATCACGATGCGATAAAGGTCTGAAATTGCATGCTATTTTGTCCATTTAGGCGACAGCACTGCGCCTTTGAATGGCTCATTTCACAAAAAACAGCTCAGTTGTCAAGTCAAAAGTAAAAATACTTGATGTAGCTCTATGTTACCGTTCCCTATAGCTGTTTTGGATCACTCTTCGATCTTTAAGAAGTTCCTTATTTTTTTTCAAAATGTTTGTATAGTATCAGGAAGTAAATTACCTTTGGTACAGCACAAAAAAGTTTGTCCTCTGGATTTTTCAGCTAACTAAATGTTAGTATTGTTTTACATCTATATTAGCACTAATTAGCTTCACTGTCTGTGCTTATAACACTTTTTTGTTTATAAACCATGTTAACTAGAAAGTTGTGAATAAGCCTCGAGTGAACTGTATAACTTTGGCAACATAGTGTTTTGTAACCCCTTACTCCTCTCCAGCTCCAACCTCTTGTTTAAATAATGATTGAACAATCCCTTAAACCCCCTTAAAATTATTAAAAACAAGACCATGCCATTGTGGGTAGCAGGCTACTATCTGGAGATGAAAGCTTGAAAAGTGACATACAGAAATTCTCACTAGAGCCAAAACTGAATGGTAACAGATAAGCAATAGACTATTGGTGTTGACAGAAGTTTCTGAATGACCATTTTGCAGACCCTGGTTTCCTTCCTGCTTTTTTGAATTGAAATTAAGCTATGGAGCGGATGTTGGCCTTTCCAATAATCTGTTTTTGTGAATTCTCGATTTTAACTGCAGCAGAGGGGACACTCCTACGCTTATTGTCACATTATATCATTCGTAACATTGCCACATCCTCTATATCCCTGCTAGAACTGGAATAAAAAAATTCTCAAATGGCTCACATACACAGATCACTGCAGTGTGTGTGTGTGTGTGTGTCTGAGTTTAAGTTACACTCAGGGTGTGAGGGGAGATAAGTGGAGATCTGGTGAACGGAAAGCAGCTTTTTCTCCTGGTCTTCTCATTACCTCCCAAGCTGTTAGAGAATCTGATAGGAGGACTCGCTATCAGAATTACTTTCTTTCAAACTACGCTTGGGAAAGTGGAGCTTGAGAAAGTTGAGCCTGCACTTGTGCTTTTCTATTTGCAGAGAAAAGTAGAGGACCAGATTGAGGACCTGTTCATGTTCCACTTCAATGGGACCAGACAAATGCCCCTACTGTTCTCCTCAGCCAGGTCTGAGACCCACTGAAGACGAGAAAGACTTCCTACAGCAGCTTTTTTTACACCCGGAGGGGTAGAATGTCTTATGACTTAAAGATAGCTTGATCTTCTCCACCTGCACAGGACAACTTCAAATACTGACATGAATCCTCTTCCAGAAAGCTTCTCAGCTGCTGATAAGCTGAGCTCCTCCAGGAACTGTGAAATGCTGCTGTAATGCTGCAGCATAATGGTCCACACTGGGCTGGATAAGGTAGTAAATAGGAGGAGACATGGCTGTCACCCGTGTAATTTTCACAGGTTTCCTCCAAACACATATGCACTAAAACTGTCTCCTATACTCTCCAGGAATCATTGTAGGCCTGGTACCAAAGGTACCAAAAACATAGGACACTTTCGTTAACAACTTAAGTCAATATCAACTTTAATAGAATGATAAAGCTGCAGTACCTAAGTTTTCAATATAATTTCACTTCATTTGTTATGCTATTTTTAGTTAGTCAAACCTCTTAATGGATTAAACGTCTTGAATTATCTCCTTTTATGGTGCGTTCCATTTACTGCGGAAGTCGGTTCTCGGAGCTGGGAATGATGTCACACCCAAGTTAACCGCATTCCTGTCGCAAGACAGAGAAGCAACATGGACGCATCCATGAGCAAACTATTTGATAATATGCGCTCGAAAATAAACATGACAACATGTCCAAAGAGAGAATTTGCACGATACTGATAAACACAATAGTTACAGCTTAAACGTAGCAGCCATGTTGGATTTCAACTCAGGCTACTGAAGTTGCTCTGAGTTTGTAAGTTGGAATTCCGACTTCAGGGGGGCATTCCCGATGATGTATCAGACTGGCAACTCAGAATTTCAGAGTTCCAAGATCAAAAGGAACGCACGATTATGATGGTATTCATTGGTGGAGTTCGTCAATCACAACCATTGCCTACAACTACTTAATGGAAGCACTGCATGGTTGCAGTTGTAATGTTGTTTCTTTTAGTTGAATAATATCAGCCTAACTGCTTACTTACTTAAGGTAAAACACACCCTACAATTTACATTTAAACCATTCAACTAGCAAGACAAGGGTGGTTCAACTGGCGTGACAATGGTTTATTGTCAGCAAATTAAATTGAATTCAACACATTTGTTGTTGAGGATAAGACAGAAAACGAATCGGCCATCAAAAATGCATCTGCAAAACACATGATTTTTTTTTTGCCAGTAGTCTTTAGTTTTAAAAGCTGTGGGGACTAGCCACAGCAAGCTGTTAGGAGGAGTTGAAGAGTAGGATGGTGTACCCACTCCCCTGTTACATGAATCACAAACTACTTACACCACCTACTAATAATGTGCAACATAAAACAGATCACAGTTGCACACGGCATGGTGACTGTCTCCATTACTCACCTCTATTAAAAGTAACTTTGTCTGGTTTCACTGTCAACGGATACATCAGTGTGTCTCCCGTTGCTAATGACAAATTAGTTGCTCAAGAACATTTTGTTTTGTATACTTTTTTAAATCTGGTTACAAAGAGCCACATTCACCAAAAAATGTATAATATTTTACTTATAACCACATCACCTTGCCATCAATCAGAGCACATGAATAAGAACGGCAAACTAAGGTAGGTTGAGGTGATGACAGCAACATGATGATGAATTACAGCCACACTCGAGGTCCTATGTTAAGCATCTATGCTCTTTTAAAAACAGTACACAGTAACATTACTTTCTCCATTCTTTGTCCATAAACAACCCGTCTCTTTTCCTATGCTTGTCTGCTTGCCAACCACATGCTCTAACAGGCCCCGCGGCTCAACGATACCAGAGGTTCAGGGACACCAGACATCACCAGCTGACATCCCACATTTATCACCCCGGCACTCAGATTCACACTCGAATCTGAATGAGAAGCTGCTCGTGGTGACTGGCTGTCACAAGTTCGACACGGCAGCAGCTTCAGACATACGGATGAAAAAGACAGGGCAGGCAGACAGAGAGATAACCTACTATACCACGAATAAACATTCATCAAAACACATTATCAGCTAACAGTAACTGACTTCAAGTGTCAGACAGCCTCAGATGTTTCTTCTCGTTCTCTTGTCTTGGTGTTGAATTCAGGATCAATCGAGCAATATCTATTGCTCTGTTGGTGCGAAAATGATTTTCTCCTGATGAAAATAACCTGAATGAACATATGTTTGGTTATGTTTGGTGAAAGTGATATGATAGAAAAGGAAAACGTTTCATGGAGGTCTGCATATTTCTGAACCCTAATTGTACCCTATTTGTAATCTAAGAAGAGAGACCTGGCCACTGTGTACAAACAGTCAGTGGGTGATACATGTATACACATGTCTAGCCTCAACATAACCCTGCACTTAAAGAACACAAAATTGCATTGTAGATGATAATTTATGGAACATAATTGAGGGAATCATAAGTTAACAATGGCTGATTGTCATTTACAAGAATTTCCTTACATCCACAAAAGATGGCACTCCTTCCAGAGCATGTTTAAACCTCATAAAAGACTAAATGTCACTCCAGGTAAAATAGACAGACTATCAAAGTTATTCTCTACATTAACTCTGTTGCATATTTTTGTTTTAATCTGAAAATGAAGAGGCAATCTTTCACTCAGGATTAATAGTACCTCTTTGCAAAGTGAGACATGCTAAAACACATTTATTTAGACATAATGCCTGTGGCGGGTTGTGAGATAAGGAGTGAGGTATGATAACAGTTCACCTCAGAGCGCTCATACTCCCTATTGTCAGCACAATTTCATCAAACGCATTCCTGTGTGTTACAGCTCAGCCTAAATTACCCTTCCCCTCTGAAGCCAAGAAAAATGTTACAAAGAAAACACCCTGAGAAGCCTTGACATTGTGTTAAACACCTAAATGTATAACTAGCTGGTAAATTCAGCAATTATAGGGTACAAGTGTCTGACTATTAAGACCACAAGACCTGGTGTATATCATCCAGTTTCCAAGCAAGGTCTTTGTAATAATCACAACCAGACACACAGGCAGACAGAACTGAATTTTCTTTTCCTTTTCAGCGTGCATGTGGAACAGTCCTCAGTTTGTTGAGGATCTTTTTTTTGTTATATAAAACCAAAATCTGTTGAAGCTATGGGCCCAGAACATCTGCCAGTAAACTGAGCCTGTGGCCTGTCCACCTGTTGATGTGATCTCTTTGCACTGTGGTCACTCTGCTTTTTTCTGC